CTTTTGTGTCTTGATACAAAAACATCGCCATTTCTTTATACATATGTATATAATCTAGTATGTATGACATATGTGTCATCTTTCTATAAACGATCAGCGCCACGTATTGGCTTTTTTTTAACTAAGAGTAGCCCATATTATATTATTGCAAAAGTTCAAAATCGTCGGTGTACTCAATTGAAATGTATATTTTATGTGAATTCACTTACATTATTCTTTAATGAATATTTTATACCTCAAAACAGTCCTCAAAGTAGATTTTACACCTAGTTCTAGATTTAATTGTCCGATAAAAATATATTCATATGTAATGTACACTTATACTTCCTATTCTTCAAATTTTGTTATAAAATATTTTCACGTGTTATAAAATATTAAGTTATTTATAATTTTTAAAACATAAGATTGCGCTCATTTCCAAGCAGTCTCATAACTGGGTTAACTAGAGTAGATATAATACGCCTAGAACTAATCTTCAGATATCGAGTTATGCAGCAATGACGTAATGCAAGTTGTAGGGTAAGAGATGAACAATAATCGCCTTTGAAGTGTTCCAACCATAATTAATAGATTTCCAATAATCATTAGGTTCAACTAATTATGTGTTTATTGAGTTATATAATAATTAATATTTTATTATATTATAGTATTATATAATCTCTCAGAATTAGTCAAGTCATTCCTTCAAACCTTTTGCATTAGAAACCTTTTAGTCTATAGAGTCGAAGTGCAAAATTTTTTAAAAGACGTAATTATGCGTCTTAGCGCCTCCACCACAGATAAAAGGGGTGGCTCGTTTTCCGTCTAAAGTATTGAAATCTAACGGCAACTAGTGTAGTTGTAAGAGTAGGTTTAAACGTAACTTGTGTAGTAATTATTAAGTGCACGTATATTTACTATTTTATTTAATGTAGATAAAAAACTGTCTTTGTCGAACTTTTTTTTTATTCTTTAACTGACTTCAAAAAGGAGGAGATTCTCAATTCTATTGGTATTTTTTATGTATGCACACTCATTACGCTGAGATTTATGATCCGATTTACGTCATTCTTCTTTAGTTTAATGTGGAATAGTTGCCATTTGGTCCCATAAAAATTTAACATAGTTTGACCCAGTAGTTTTTATTTTATGAACATTTTTGTTTACGTGATTGATGTAATTTTAATTTAGATTGTGTACGGCTTTTTTAGGGAGTTTTCATTTAGGTTGATTATATATTATTATTAACCCGTGTCCCGATAAGTGGGTATTAGGCTACCTGTCATTGAAGCGGAGCGAGCGTGCGAAGTAGAGAAACTGAGAAAGACTATAACCAATCGTTACATTGTTACCTACTGTAGTTTACAGAACAACCTATTACAGACACTAAAAAGAAAAAAAAACTTTTTAAGAAAAAAATAAAAACCGAATTCAAAAAAAGCATTAAAAAGTAAAAAGTAACTCATTGGTAGTTTTCATTTACTATACATACCTAATGAAATATATTCGAAGTCGGTGTGATTTGCTTTGTATTGGCTGGCACCTCACCCTTAATTCGCTCGGGTTCGCCTAACTAAAAACAAAAACAAATATATCCCTCGGGAACCGTATATTTTTCCGGTATAAAAAGTTCCGGTAAATCCGTTCAGCCGTTCTGGCGTGAAAGAGTAACAAACATCCATATTCACAAACTTTCACATTTATAATATTAGTATACATGGTATATAGTACATGTTTTTCACCATCATGTATTTTCATAAAGTAATTTTTTATGACCACAACCGTGGTCAATGACAATGTTGATTGGAAGTTGGAAGAGTGTCTAACTATCAGGAATTTGAAAAATAAAATGAAAAACGTGTATACAATGATAGTACAATTTCGCTTGTAAAACCAAATAAATGGGATTCCAGCCCTAAATCTCGCACTACTGAGATTTTCAAGAGAATCATTTTCAAAAACAAGCAATATCAAATATGATATATCCAAAGTTATTTAAAAACCTAGAAAAAGTACCCAATCAGCTAAGTTGAATTTGTAAAATTATCTAAGAAAATTAATTAACTAAATGTTGATCGATGATGATGATGAATCTGTTAGTTAAAAAATACTAGAATGGTAGTTCAAAGAAGAAAATATACATACTACACTTGTGAATTTTGCTCTCAATATTCATATTATTTTAACCACTTAATACGTTATCAAAAACCGACATTTTGCTATCACGTCGCCATTGATTCGCCTTAGGAATGTAATTACTTTAGCTCTATACTCAATGGGATCGCGTGCCTCCTACACGCCTATCAGTGACCTATAGTCTATATCAACTGACTCATGTCAATTTAGAATAGAATAGAATAGAATAACAGAAGTTTAATATCTTGATACTTTGTTTTTAGTTTTGAACTACTAATAAATTCGTGATAAATTTTGGGCAAATTCTCAAGTTTATATGATTTTCTATACGATACATCTTACAGTATAAATAAAAGTGCAAAATGTTATTTTTTTACCTATGATAATTAAGATAGAGTAATATGTAATAGTGTTTTGTTTTTGTTTTTCTTAATATATCTCCTTTATATAAAGAAATAGTATTTGTACCGAAAGCAATGTTAGCTTTTAGACTTATCCCGGTGCATCAAGTCCCAAAGTCCCTGAAATCTATATTAATACTAATCTATATTTAATATTATAAAGAGGCAGAATTTCAGTTTCTTTTGAGAATTTGTTTGTTTGAACGCGTTAATCTCAGGAACTACTTATCCGATTTCAAAAAAATTTTTTGCATTATTAGCCCGTTCACTGAGGAAGGCTATATATTATCTTCATGCTACTACCCAAGGGAGCGGAGCAGTAATTATAAATGTCAACAAATCGGGCAGACTTCCATACATTGTTGTAAAACTGATGTTAAATCAGAATGCTTGAACGCGAGCGAAGCCATGGGTATTGCTAGTACATTATATACACAACCACCCTACATTGACTTTTGTGTTTGCTTATGGGATAACCTCAGAAACTACTTAACAAATTCTCATACACTTTTCGCCAATAACTGATACTGGAATGAGTTGAAATTTAAATACGATCTTATAAAATAACTTATACATATAACCTCTAAGAAAGGATTTTTTATAACCTAAGGTTTGAAGTAAAAAGATATCATATTTTTCTAGTGTCAAATTGAAAAAGAAACAGTCAATCGAACTCAGGCTATAAGCTGATAGTAATAGTATAATATGAATGGAATAATAGAAAAGCTTTTTGAATAAAACTATCTTTTCGGACTTTTTCCCGGCTTTATTTTGATTTTTGGTTCCCAACGTTTCGAATGCTTTACAGCAATCATGGTCACGGGAGAGACTGAGGTGTTAGATGTCTCAAAGGTATTATATATAATATATAATATAATAATAGAAAAGCTATCAAGTTTTCTAAATGCAAGGTTGTCTATGTTAGAAATTTTACATCCTCCTTTCCGGAAACACTAATGACTTTCAATTCGTCGTGTCTCATTGAAGTATTAAAAAAGTCAAAAGATTTTACAAACTTGATGAAATTGATCACCATGACCGAAATGAGTCAAAACAATATTGCTATTATATAAATGAGGTAATTATTATTAACACCTCCAGGTAAATTTCTAAGAAATTAATTAAATTTCTAAGAATTCTATTGTTAACTGTAACGCCGGCGTGTCCGCGGTCGTTGGGTAATTAAAAAAAAAATTATTTTAAACAATAGTATGTATCACACAATTCCATTGATACATACGATGACATTATTCAATTCACTTTTAGTCATTTTAGTCATGTTAATGCTAACAATGCTTTTTTGGAATTTGGCATGACTCAATATTGAATTGAAAGTTTGCCTAATTGGTATCAGTAATATTTCAATTCAATCAAATTCATTTGTAATATGCTTAGTTTAAATCTAGATATGTTAATAAAAAGACTAAAACATGGAATTGTTTTAAAATAAAACCATTTTGCGTTTTGAATGCTTTGAAGATAAGCGTCATAATTCTCTTGGTTATTACAGACCGTGACTACCCACAAAAATATATGTATAATAATTTGGAAAGAACAGAGAGATGACGCCGATATATCATATAATTAAAATTATTGATAAAATCGTTCTATTGAGTTTTCTATAGTATTATATTGTGTATCATACTCTAGGACCACTAATAAATCTTCGAGATATTCCTTGCTTATATTCACTACTTTTATAATCGCCAGTGCCCTTTTTTTTAAACACATTCCTATCGGCCAAGGTTACATAACTTATACATAAATCATTACAAATTAATCAAATATATTATTTTCTATTAAAACGCTAAAGATATAAAAATGCAAACTTATACTCGTCCATCCTGATAACGTGTATGAACTCATACACGCTTCCCATCGGAAAACCTTACAATACCATACTGCTTAAAAAATATTTATTTAGGTCCCTTCAATTACTTTGTTTGCCGGTTTCGCTACTTGTATAATCTGATCCTTGAATAATATATCTAATATTATGTATGTTAACATAGTTGAAATTTTTATTTTTACCAAAAAAATTTATGTTTATTTTTTAACGTATCTCCAATGTAATGTACTCCATATATGATATAAATTTAAAGAACAAACACCCTTAGGTACCCTTCTTTCTTTCTTAATATAGTATTATATAGTTGTTGTAATTGTTGTATTATAAAGTGTAAAATAATTTACACTATCAAAATTAAACTACATTAATAACAAAATTAGCTATTTGTCTAATACACATTTAAGAAGTACAAAACTAATGGTTTTAACTCAATATGTATGAAGTTGTAAGGAATATTTGAATTTAAGAAAGTCAGAGACGATTAGAACAGTTGAAATACTCGAAGTGTTAATAATTCTAAATAGCAAATATTAATTGAGGCAAAATTTAATTTAGGGTCGACTAAAAATTCAACTCTTTTACCTAATTAATTCAAATATAAATGTTTTATTTATTGGAGGTAATTTTTTTTTCAGATATTTAGTTGGATTTAAAAATCTACTGAGAAGTATAGAATGTAAAGGCATAGCTTCCGTACTTGGCATTAATTACTTCGCTCGTGGCTTTTTGCAGCCTCGAGCGCATGAAAGGTAAGATGTAAATAAAGAAGAACAATATTATGAAGTGAAATAAACTTACTGTATTTTATGACATTTTAAATAAAACTATATTTTCGGATCTAAAATAAAAGCTTGTTTTTAAAAATATTTTTTGTTTTTTAGTATTCATTTATTTTTATCAAAAGCAGAATATTTGTTATACAGATAATTTTCACAGGAAAAACAGAAAATAAACAAATACTCGAATGTTAAATTGTTGAATAGATTTTATTTTCGGCACAAGATTTTTTAATTAGTCTCAATATAACTCTGTTTTCCTCATAACAAAATGTTTGTTGAAAATACCGCTTAATAACGCTACAAAAAAATGTCGGCTGCTAATTTTATAATTTATTAAAAATATTTTATAGGCTAAATGAATTTATTTCCAGATATTATGATTATTTTAAACGTTTCTAGGTACATTAGCCACATGGTTCTGGGCCGAGATCTTTTAGACAATACGCTCAATCTCATCCCATCATTAATACCTCTACATATGGATATCAAAGAAGATAGTCCGGAATATCAAGTGTTGGAAAAAAAGGAAGTATTTCTTAATATGGAAGTTTTCTTCTTAATAGAGGAAGAAAGTATATGTCCAAAAATTTGTTGTAAAAGTTGTACAAAATATGTTATTTTATAATGGCGTATTGTTCCACATTTATATCGGTTTTATATACTTGCGGGATGTTTTTTTTTGAATAAGAAACCAGCGTCCAATTCATACAAAAAGCGGACATGTTCTTTCAATTAAATTAATTAGAATCACACAATCATTTTTCAATATTTCGTACAAGTTCGGATTTCACCAGATGGTGTTTTTGTATTTTGTTGAATGTGTTGGATAGATATATAACAATGCACTCAACAAAATACATGAAAAACTAAGTGAATTTAAATAAAAATACCTAAATAATGTAAATGTATAATATCACGGTAACTGTACGTCTTATTAAAAACTAGCGTCTCACCCTGGCTTCGCTCGGGTTCTTCCCTAGATTGCTTCCCCATACAAACTTTCATCCCCATTCTCACCCCGTTAAAGGATTATTTCCCGGATAAAAACTATTGCACTCACTCAATTTTCATATCATGAGATTAAAAAAAACAAAATATTAGTAAACTTTTTTTTTCTTCTATACAAAACTTGTCCTGATAATAACAAACACAAGAAAAAAAGAATTATCCAATTCGGTGCAGTCGATCGGAAAAGATAAATATGCTTTCGCCTATTGAAAGGTTTTAGATATTATTACTATAGTTCATAAATTCGTCATGTGTGTTACATTTATTTATTTTCTTTTATAAGAAAATCAATAATGTTATTGTTGAAGTAAACGCGTGTAAATGTAGATACGTTGTCCCCATTATTATATTTTGCGAATACGTTATCTTCCTCTGACAAAATCACATTAATTCCACCCACGAATTGTAAATAGCTGAATCGAATTCGTGAGAGGAAAGAAATGAGGTCTTAATTAATTTGTAAAGTTCTATTGACTTTCTTAAGATTTCTTTTTGTTTAAAACTGTAGATTTTATGATTAGATGTACCTATCTAAAAATAATGTTTAAATCAGACTACCTGCTATTATAAATAATGATGACGGTAATGACGACAGGTTTGGCTCAGTTTGTAGTGACCATACTTGCTGTGCCACCAGTCGCGGCTTCGAGTCCCGCGGGGGGCATTCATTTGTGTGATGAGCACAAATTTTTGAACCCCAGTCAGGGGTGTTTATATTTCCCCCCCAACGTGCGTTCATGTTAGTCCGGGGGGGGGGCTGGGGGGAGGCTCAGTAGTGCCCGGACGGGACGTACAGCCGGGCGCGAAGCCAAGAAACGCACAGGGAGGTGGCCCGCTTCGGTAGGCGGTGGAAGGCGGTCCTCTTCGGAGGGCGGCGTTCCATGCGGGTTGCTCCTGGTACTTCTCTGACAGCAGAGTGGACCTTGGTGCAACCTCGTGGTTGTTGTGGTCTGCTTCGGCAGACCTGCCGTCGGGGCGTCGTAGTTGAATGCGTAAGCGATCCTGCGACGCCCCATTAAGACGGGGGAAGGCTTTGTTGCGTTTTAGTGGGTAGTACTGGCTTTGCCGGTGATTCCCACACCTCGTGCGTAAATGCATTTCCCAACGTTAAAAAAAGGGGTGTTTATATTTATAGCATGTATGTATTTAAAACTATATATGTGTAGCATATCAACTATCTGGTATCCATAACACAGGCTTCGTAGCTTACCATGGAACTAGATGGTGGTGTGTGTTATTATCATTCATTCCATTTTACGTGAAAATTGAATGAACTTCAGGAAAGAGTAAAGAAGAAAATATTGATTTTTCAAATCCTATCTATTATTAATGATTTTAGGAATCAACAAATAGTCGACAATAAACACCAAGCAGGCAGCGTCAGTGAAGCAATAGAGTACTTCGACCAGACAGCTACTTTACTTGGAAAACTCAGAGCTGTTCAAAAGCAACTAAGAGAATATATCAGGTATCGATAAATTTTTTTTTATATATTTACTAGCAGACCCGGCACGCGTTGCTGTGGCGCACATATGAAAATCGTTAAATTTGCAATAAAAAAAGGAAATAATCGATAAAAACTATCATACCTTTTAAGTTGGAACAAATCAAACATTTTAAAAAAATACGTTAATATCAGATTATTTTATATATTAAGATATTTCGTCATACATACATCACTATTATCTCAAGTTATAGCCATAGTAGTATAACTGTACCTTTGGTCTAGTTTAGCAACGACGGCTTACGTGTAAAGTTATTGGATCCCATATAGATGTCTAGACTTAGTGCGATTAGCCGTCCAGTCCAAAATCACTCATGGCCTAGTATTATTAGTGTGGCTTCTTCTACTCTGACTAAATAAATATGTAGACAGATTCCCCCAAAAAACTGTCAAAGTCAAAAATAATATCGTGAATTTTGCTGTTTATTCTTGGTTTTGCCATACAGATCGTTTACTATCTTCGAAGACTAAGAGAAATTTTAAATAGTTTTTTTTTATTTCATTTACAAATTTTGAGAAAATCTTATTATCATTTATTTACTTACCACTTAGTATACAAATTGTCAACCGTATAATGTTTTAAAACAATCGTTTGGCTTCATGCTTAGTTCTATTACACTTTGTCTATATTTTTCCTTAGTCTGAGTACTTCAAATATTAATAAAACGATAAAACCTAAAACAATAGTAGGTACCTCAAAACACGAAATATGAAGTCAGCAGTTGGAATTCTAAATATCCTTATAAGGGAAAAATTGGAAATTATGATTGATACTCGACCTAGAATATGATTCTCACTCTCCGTTATTTCATAATGGCTTAGGAAATTATATTCTTGTGTAACAAACAAACGGAAAAACAAAAAACACATTTATTTTTAAATACATATATTGATTCAATAACTACTTCTCCCTTATTGCATTCACAGCAATCGCTTCAAAGTAAACACAAAGAAGTTTTATTCGATACGTGACTACAGTGTCTGACTTTAACCAATAAATCCAGATTTGCGCTGCATTTTATTTTATAGACGTCTTCATGCTACATGGAAAATTTGAACCGATATTATGTTCTTATAATATTATGCTTTATGCTTTACTGTCTCGGTGGTCTGGTGGCTAGTATATACGGCCGCAGATCCGGAGGTCCTGGATATGAGTCCCGGGTGGGGCCAAACTTAGTTATTGAGTTTGTCTGTTAAGGAATTCTCAGTAGAAGCTCGGAATTGGGAAGTTAGCGGTGTAACAACCCTGTGCCTCGAAAAGACGTTAAACCATCTCTCACCGGCCCTATTGAAGTACGAGTTGCACCATTGGACTTTGAGAGTGAAGAGGAATAGAGTGGGGATATCGTTTTAAAAGTATTTTATATACTCTTCGTATTTACGCATCGAAATTAAATGAGCGTCTTAAAATTGATTGAGCCAATCTAAGACATAGGAGCACGTACATACTCGTACTTATATCTCTATGATCTCTTTCATTCGTGCGTCACACAGAGTATATAAACGAGAAGTTCGTTGTCATAAGTTTGAAATTTTTCTAATAGCTTGCGCGTTCATTGACACTGCAAAACTTTTGACATGATTTTGTTCCAGTTTATGAGAATTCCACATTCTATGCTGGTTTTTACTTATATTCATGATAATTTTTAAGGTTATTTATAGGATTTTCTAGCCAAATCAACATAGACGGTTTAAGCTATATTTGTTTTAGTAAATTAAAAAAATAGAAATAAAAAGTTAGTAAAGTAAAAGAAATGTAACAATATATCTAGCTAATAGCTATTGATTCCTCAAGAGAATTAATTAAGGGTCCAGAACTGGTTTCTCCATTGAATGATAATGCAGTATGAGCTGCTGCGTAGGTCGCCAACATCGAGCCAATTACAACAATATTAATGGCGAATTGTTGGCTCGTACATTTATTGATAAGGAATTTTAATAATGATGAATAAAGGAAAAACTCATAAAAATTCCTTTCTTTTGCTCACATATCCATATCACGTAATTTATCCATCTACTCTTGAATAGTGCTTATACAGTGGTAGCTCAATCGTAACGTCCTTGCTTGGAACACCTAGTGAAGTGGGTTTAAATCCCGGGCCTCGCACCTCTGATATAAACATGTGCGAATCATTTCTAAAATCATTACTACTTGTCTTAACGGCGAAGGAAAGGATCGTGAGGAAATCTGCATGTCTGAGAGAACCTAATAAGTTTTCGTAAGACATGTGAAGTCCGCCAACCCACACTTGGCGTGATGGACTATGGACTATGGTTGATCCCCCTTATATTGAAGGGAGGCCCGTGCCCAGCAGTGGGACGTTAAAAAGGGCTGAATACAAGGTTTTAAGTTTAATTACTCTTTAAACAAAAAGTTATAGAAAAAACATCGTCATAAAGGTAATTTTTCATCCATAAATTTTTTTTTCTCAAACTCTAACTCTTGAAATATAATCCTATATGAATTTAAGTTCAGAGAGAATACACTTTAAAAAAAACGGAATTGGAATCTCCATGTTCTTTAAATTTGGTTAACAATTTGAAATAACATTCACTCAAAGGCTTCCATTGTAGACTTTAATCATGAAATCTAATTAAAATCAGAGTAATTGGCACACTATGAAGCAATTGAAAAGAGAGAAATACGATATTGTATAATAGAGGTAAAGCGATAATATTATTTACTTTATATTGAAAATTATATAATCTATTTAGTTATTTATGTAAGTCTATGCCTTATTGGTTTACTGACTACGGCTTCAGACCCGGAGTTCCTAGATTCGCGTCTTGGATCGAGCCATCATCGTTTCACTTGGTTTCCCAAGTGAGCGCGTTAACATTGGGCTACCACTGCCACATAAAATACGCAAAATCATGATTGACCTACTACCAACCAGCTAGTTTATGTTCTGAAAAAGTATCCAACCTAATAAAATAAAACTGAATATATAAGCTTTGCGTCTAGCTATTTGTTTGACAATACAATAAAAAACTTCCTTCTATTTAATGGATTCAGTCGTTTTCAAATTAACAAAAGACCTAAGAAAGAAATGAAAGGAAATGGCGAACCGTAGAAAAAAATATCTACTATATTTACCACAATCAAAGCAATTTGCAAAAAATATCACCGTTTTCATTCATAAATGTATTACATAAATAAAATTTGAATTGTATCGTTTACAAAAGAAAAGGCACTCAATCTCGAAACCATCACAAATTAAAATAATCTTTTTAAAAATTCATATATATATTTTTAAAAATAAATAAGTAGTATTTTTAAGCTAAGAAAATAATGTAAAATAAAGAAATATTGTAAACTAACGGTTCTAAAAAAAAACAAAAAACTAACATATCCCACCGCAACCGTACATTTTTCCGGTATAAAAAGTAGCCTATGTGTTATTCCAGACTATAATCTATCTCTGTGCCAAATTTCATTCAGATCTGTTCAGTCGTTCTGGCGTGAAAGAGTAACAAACATTCACTCACAAACTTTCACATTTAGATATAATATTTATACAGATTATCCATATTGTCATTGATATAAGAAAAATGTGAGACGAGTAAGTTAAAATAAAGCAATATACATATATTATACCTATATTATACCTGAATATAATAAGATTTAATTTAATATCCCATTTTGGAACAAATGTAATGTGTCTTCAAAATCTTTTCTTTCCTAGGGAGGGAGTAAACGAAAGTTTAAGAGAAGCTCGTCGAAGTGAAGCAATTTGCGCGGGTATACTCATCTTAGTATGCGTCGTATCTCCTATCATCATAGCTCTAGTTCGGAACGCTGTAAATACTATACAGGTAAGCTTTAAAGCTGCTCTTCTAAAAGTTTGCTAAAGCTACTAGTTTGCTAGTTTGTGTGTGTGTGTGTGTGTATGTTTATAATTCCTTCACGTTGAAACGGCTGGATGGATTTGAATGAAATTTAGTATAAAGATATTGCACCTGGAGTAGCACATGGCTAAGTACTAAGGGACGTCACCGAGCGGAGTAAGGGTGAGTCGTTAGTATATGTATATAATAATGAATATTTTTCGATTTTGAACGACGAACGGATGCTCAGAAAGATATTTAGTAAGAGAGTGAATGAAAGCTTAAGTAGAAGGCAATCTTGGAGGACTTTTGAACATAAAATGTCATTATACAAAAAAAATGTGAAGTTAAATCAGAAGTCTGAAGAACCTCCGACGACTTTGCATAAAGAGAAAGGTGGAAGCAAAAGTGGTATGCAGATATCGTAGCGCTTAGCATTCTGTTCTCTTTGACTATCCCTCAAAGGATATCGTCAAGTCATAATTAGTAACTATTTCAAAGTCAACTAAAATAATTGATAACTATGTGAATGTATAATAGAAATATATTTCAACATCGAATAAATTAGTAATATTTTTAATGTAAACCGGACTGGATGTTGGCGGACTTCACATGTCTTTTAAATACTTGTTAGGTTCTCTCAGACATACAAGTACCCTCACGATGTTTTCTTTTACCGCTTGAGTAAGAGGTAATCGTGTTAAAAATAGTTCGCAAATTAGAATACCTATCTGAGCTGCGAAACCCGTTTTGAACCCGTTTCACTTTGTTTTCCAAATGAGCGTGACTCCACTGGGCCACCATCGCCTTTTTTATTTATATGATGTGTATAATACCTACCTTATTTATTTAATTATCCGTTTATTTATAGATATTTTAGGCGGGAGAGTGACGTAGAATACTACTTATCTCAGTGCTGAGTACATACCTTCATACATTTTATTACAAATTAGTTATCATTTTATTTAAGTAACCAAACTACCAGACGAGCTCTGATTCTTGTAAAAATCTTGTAATCGATAGTTGACAATACCATAATATGATTTTATAAATCATTCACAGTATAACCTTAAACTTTTATTTTCTCAGCTTTCTCAGACAACAAATTTTAATATCTTCATGTTTTAATACTATGCCTATCCTATGCCTTCATAATTCATTAACAGGTCCCAACCGAGCCTTTTCAAAGTCCTCTTTCCGTTGACACCGTTCACTAACAGTAAAATATTCAATCGAACATGATATATGATACTGAAATAAAAACTCAAAAAAACCGACTTCCAGGCACAAAAATGTAAAAAATAATTAAACGGGGGTTTTCATTTAGAATAGATACCTAATCAGATATTTTCGAAGACCTCTTGGGGTGTAGTGTAAATATTACAAGTTTTTATATTCAAGAAATCTAAATAAATAAGAATTAATAATATAAATAGATGCTTAGAGAATTGTTTTTGGAGGCTTAAAGTTAATATAATGATTTTATTTTATTTTCAGGTGTACGCCCGTAATCTATCTGAGAAAGCAAGAGAACTTGAATATGAAAAAGAATTAAGTGATTCACTGCTCTACCAAATGCTACCAGCGAGTGTCGCAAAGCAATTAAAACAAACACAGCAGGTAAAGTAATATCTGTCTGTATAAATAAAAATAAATGTTCGTATGTTTGTCCTCTGTGCGTTCCTAAATTTGAAAATTGATCCGGTTGTGATGAAACTCTGGTGGGTTACTCTTACTCTGTATTTGCCTAAGTGTTGCCTGCGAATGTTCCTAGCGCAAAGAACTTTTTTTTCTTAAAATGTTTGTCTATTATGCATTTCTAAGCCATTCAATGTTAGGGACGCACCCGAGTGACGCTAGGATAGTCGCTAGTTATTCCATAAATGTACTATTTTAATAGAATCTTAATTACTTAAATTGTACAAAAGTTGTATAATCGCCAGTAAACAACCAGCTGGACCCGCCCTCGCTTGTTACACCTCATAGAGAATAAAGTTATAAATTTTCTGTACCCTAAAATAGGAAAACATCCTTCTCTTTTCAGAGATCTCTCGTTAGTTAGTTATCTCGGATTTTTAAATTAGCTTATATTGCTAATAAACGTGTCCTTAAATCGGTTTAGGTGTTCGAAGTCCAGCGGCTACAAGCAGGCAGCAGACGGAAAAACAAAAAAAAGCAATTTGAGCTTTGGTATAATGAAATAAAAAAAATCCGGAAATCTTATTAAAACTCCGTTGTTTTTATTTACTGTAATTACGTAATATAAGTTGTCAAAGATTTTTCTAGAAAACCTCATTATTTCTTTGCCATTACGATTCTTCGCTTGGAAGGAAGCTTTCGGCCATCAATCTTAAATTTGTACTCAGGATCTTTACGAGGATTCCTTTTTCAATTTTTAATTCCAAGTCAAAACAAAATAAAAATAAAAATGGTATTATAATAATTATGATAGTATAACCAAATCTATACATATAATATAATTGTAACTGCGATGTCTGTACATGAAAGATATTTGGGAAAAACTATTATTGGGGGTCTTTATTTTGTATTTTGTATGTCTATATGTTTGTGCGCACTAATCTCATGAATGGCTTAACTGATTTGGATGCAGTTTTCATTAATGTATTGTGGTAAGCTTCACTTATAATTTAGTATTTGTTTTATTTCAATCGTTTCATAAATAAAAAAAGTTATCTGAATTCAAAGAATCACCGAGGTTAAGTCGCTAGTACTAATATAATTTTAAGTAATTTAGTCCACTTTTTTTTGATACTCTATATATGGCAGATACTAAAGCAAATCCACAATTTTCTATCCGATAAATATAAGCGGATACACTTTTTTCTCTTAAGCAATACACAATTAATAAGACTTTGTCTTCTTCTTTCTACCTTATAATATTAAATGAGCTATTCTTGTTTGTTATTTATATATAAATTTATTTCGTGCCTATCTCGGGAACAGCTTTGAAGATTTGGATCTTTCGTATTTAGATAAGGTTTTACTTTTTAAGTTTACTTATATAGGTGTTTCTCTAAAATAAAAGAGAAGCTAGAAGTATACGGTTTTTGCCTTAAATATTGCAACTGGAATTTATTATCGTGAAAATCAACAAATTATTTTATTTGGCGGCCTTCAATGCTGGCTTTATTTAAACTCTTACATTCATAACGTGAGTTAAAGGCAAAAGAATTTTAATTATAGATAATCTAACTTTATAAATAAAAAATAAAAAAAAACCCTACACAAATTAATTGTCATTTAACGATTACACAGGCACGCGTGAAGCACTTAATCTAGTAATCATACGCCAAAATGTCTTACATAATTTTGGAAAAGAGCTGATACTCTTACACTGCTGGACCGACATTAACCAAACATAGCTAAGAACCACCGCAAGGAAACTGGCTTTCAAATGAAAAAAACCGACGAAATCGGTCCATCCATTTGAGAACTACGATGCCACAGACAGACACACATACAGACAGACATCGACGTCAAACTTTTATCACCCCCTTTTTGCGTCGGGGGTTAAAAAACGCTAAGCAAAGTTCGGTCGCCCAAGTACTTTTCAGTAAAACAACTCCTTTGTTTCCTCACATTTTTTTAGCTATATTTTAGTATATGTGGATTCATCTACTTGCGCTTCTGCTCTGAAATGTATTGAACATAGCGCTCCGTATATCCGTTTCATGTCCTCTACCTATTTACGAGTATAACGACCTAAACTTTTATATCATTTTTTTTTGTGAAAGTAACTTTGTCTTTTTGCCTGCTTAGGGCGTAAAAAAATGTCGGTGTGATAAGGCCTTAAATTTCACCATAAGGATCGACATTGAATACATTTTATTCACTCCTCACTAACCATACGAGATGAATCACAAGTAAAACAGAGCATTATATTTGATAAAAAGAGTCTCATTAAATTTGGTTGCTTAGAATTCTTTACAATTAAAGGGACAGATATAAAAATAATAAAATATTTATATGTATGTCTTCTAATACTTCGTAAGTATTCCCATGTCTACGTGTGTTCATTTCGCGGTTCATGGCTCATAATTATAGATAAAATGAAAAATACTGGCGGAATTATATTACCAGCTAGTATTATAAAAACGTCATGAACGAATTAACCACAATTCGTCCATGAAAAACGTATATAAATTTGTTTCAGGTGCCAGCTGAGTTCTTTGCATCTGTTACTGTGTACTTTAGCGACATCGTCGGTTTCACTGCTATTGCGGCCGTCTCAACTCCATATCAGGTATATATACAATTTTCTCCATTTTTTGACACTTTATAAATTAAACACGATCACCGAAGCTTATACTAAATAATAGCTGACTGCGTACCATGAAAGAAGTAGCCGGTTCGGAAAATGATATAGTATATTATTCAACTATCTGGTATCCATAACACAAGCCTCGTAGCTTACCATGGAACTGGATGGTGCTGTGTGTTAATGGCCCAATATATTTATTTATTTATTATTACAGGTTATCAGTTTTCTCAACTCAGTGTATAAGCTGTTCGATGAAAGGATTGAATGCTACGATGTGTACAAGATAGAAACAATAGGGGACTCGTACATGGTGGCTTCAGGACTTCCAGTCAGGAATGGTGCGTAGTTTCGTAGTTATAGGAATTTTTGTTACTCCGCTTTTTCCCTTGTAAATGTTCGCCAACCATTATCTATGCAACCCAACAATTTCCTTTGTAAAGGTTGATAAGGCCGCCTTTACACTGAAATATTAACTTATATTTTTTTTTTATATTGCAATTTTTTTGGTATATTAAAGGATTAAATAAATGCTCTGCTCTGTTGTTACATATAAGATACGATGATAACTTTTTCTATCTATCTATATATAATATGTATAATAAAATTCTGAGTCAAATCTCTAGATTAAATATTTGTTGGAAAATCTTATTGAAATAGTCATTATTATCGATACAGAGGCCGAACCTATAGTTTTTAGAATGTTTGTTTGTCTGTCTATCTGGGAACGCATGACGAGAAAACCACTGAACAAATTTTGATGAAATTTGATATGGTAATAGCTGGTTATACGGGACAACATTTAGGATTACTATTATATTTACTGTAGAAAAATACATATCTCATCTCTGAGAAATCTATACGACGACGACAGACGAAACGAGCGAGGGTGAGTTGCTTGTATACAATATACTTAAGTGTTATTTTTGTATTAGTTTTTATATTCACTGTCCGCATGAAAAAAATATTTTCTTTTAATATTTATAACATTAGCAGCGCTATCTATAGATAGGTTCTTCAGATAGGAACAATGTAAAGCTCATCTACGCTTACATCTTATATATGCATTAGCCAGGATATGATCTATCTATGAATGAAATATACATATAATGTGTATCCAATTGCTAATATGTAGGATTTGTATACTTACTAATTTACTACTTAACGTATATAGTAATTAATACGAGCGACTCATTCACTCGATTTAGCATAAATTTCTTAGAGATGAGATATTTTTTTGCAGTAAAAAGTATATTATATGTTGACCCAGGATAGCCAGCTATCCCGGGGGAGAAGCCAACTCCTACCGGGCGCGTCCCCAGGTGGCGGATAGGGGAATGCCACCCGCTTAGGGCGGCGGGTGATACCGGAGAAATCCGGCGCGGACCAAATGGCTTGGGTGGGGGCGCTCGTGTTGGCCTCGAGCCGAAGGCGTTCCGGCCACCGGTGGTGGGACCGCTTGGTCCCACAACCGGATGAGGGGTGCCGGTTGCGGAACTGTGATCGCAGGCCCGCATCCAGCGGAGGTGTAGGCCGCGGCGGGAGAGGAGTGCCGGTATTTCGGTGCGCCGTTCTCCCTATCATCCGCGGTCTAGACGGGGCCGCCAAAGTTTGATGGCGGTCGCGGTGGGGCTGCAGGGGAAGAGGAGTGTCGGTGTTTCGTTGCCGCTCTCCCTGTCCTCTGCAGCCGATTGGAGGTGGCCCACTTCGGTGGGCGGAGGTTAGGTTTAATGCGGCTGCTCCGGGTACCCCTCTGGCGTAGCAGAGTTGACTGTGGAGTAGTACCGGCTCTTCTAGCCGGTGAGCCCCACATCACCACCTGGGGGATCAGGTGGTATGCGTAAATGCATTTCCCGGCGATAAAAAAAAAGGATAACCAGCTATCATCATATCAAATTTCATCAAAATCTGTTCAGTGGTTTTCTCGTCATGCGTTCCCAGGCAGACAGACAAAAATTCTAAAAACTATAAATTCGGCCTCTGTATCGATAATAATGACAATTTTAATAAGATTTTCCAAAAAATATTTAATTTACAGACAGATTCGACTCAGAATTTTATTATATGTAAGAGTATATTGTATAGATATAGTTTTAATAACTTTCTTAGATTTACGCGAATATTTAATATTTTAAATGAAACAATCTTGTCGCAGTTTTTTAAATTTGTTCAGTTTTTTAGTTTTGTAAATTTGTTTGCAATAATAAATACCATCTGTTACAACTATATCATAACTTTTGAGATATTTAAAACCTGAGTCTCTCCCGTGACCGTTTGCTATAAAGTATTCGAAACATCAAGAACAAAAATCCTACTAATATTACAAATGCGAAAGTTTGTAAGGATGTATAGATATATGGGTGTTTGTTACTCTTTCACGCAAAAACTACAAAATGGATTTTATAGAAACTTTACAATAATATAGCTAATACATGGAAAAATGTACGGTACTGGTGGTATAGATTTGTTTTTGTTTTTCTAGTATAAAATATGTACCGTTCCAGTAAGAACAGTACAATATAGTTGTTATTAGTTGTTTGGGGTGCACGAGTTAAAATAGTTTTTAAAGTAGTTTAATTACTGAAGTTGTATAAGATATATACTGAAATATACTGATATATATACTGATATATACTGAAGTTGTATAAGAATGTAATTTTGAGGACTCTAACTGGCCACGTCTGTTCGGCTCAGTGTCTTTAACCTTTAATTAGTCGCGTGGGGTCCATTGGACCCCAAGCGAGATTGTTTTTATCATATTTCGGCAAATATTACTCTTACGTGAGTGTACGTTTTAGTAGCTTCCTAGCTTTGCCGCTCCTCCCGTCTCTGTGTTCCGCGAGCTACGGCTTCGACCATACGTGCCGTACGGAGGTGCTTGGGGTCCAACGGACCCCGCGCGACTAATAGTGTAGTACAATTTTGGTAAGTATAATGATGAACATTTTGTTATTTTGTTTCACAATTTTATGCAAACTTGTGTTTCATAATTATTTCTTAAATTTTACAGGTAAAAGAACACAATGGCAAGCTGCCACTCAAATATAGAGCAAATATCAAATCTACTATTTGAAGATGAAGAAGAGCTATTTGATGAAAGTGACGATGAGTTGGGCATCGGAGAACAATTACCTGAACAACAAAATTATCATTCTCACTCTGAGCAGAGTGAAACCAACTCAGAAGATGACGCAGGATCATCTTCATCAGAATATTATTTAGACAACAACAGATAAGCAAATCAAATGGTCCAAAAATTCTTCAAGCCAAAGAATAAGATAAAGACTCACAACATTGTTTTCCATTCGCGAGGTCTAATGATAGGAAAATAAAAACCAAATATGGCAAATGTAACAAATTCATGAGTAATGAGCAACTTACAACAGTTTGTGATTCAAGTGCCTAATAATTTAAGATAATTGAGATTACTATTTTAGAAGTTTATATTTTTGTTGTTTTCTAGAAGTATAACATTGTTTTGTTAATTTAGATGTTGTTATTAAAGTTCCTATATCAAATAAATAGTTTCACTTATTTTATCTTTTTCATTTCCAAAAGTAAATCCTGGGGTCCGTGCGGACCCCAGGAGTGTAAGTATTTCGGCGCTACTAGCTAAAGGTTAAGTGCACTCGTAATAAATGTAGCGACGCATCGCTTCGAAAAGGTATCGCGCAAAATAAGCTTAACTAAAAATGTACGTGAAACCGTACAAAATAAAACTTCGACAAAATCAAAAAAAAAAGATAGTTTAATTTAAAATAATCTATACATAGTATCTGAGATTTTTTACTGAAATTCCAAAATCTTTTTAACATAGGAAACAAACATGCGACTGAGATAGCGAGTATGGCCTTGGAATTATTGGAGGCGACATCTATGTGCCGTTTGCCACACAGGCCCGATCAGGTACATAGGTAATATTCGTCTCAGTGTTTTCGCCTAGCTTCTGCACTTGCTTAGTTGGCTTTTAGAGAATAAAATGTTATGACATAAGTCTTAAATCATACGTACATATACACACATGTCCCAGAGAGTAGTGTCAACAATTTTTCAAAATGAAACTTAAATTAAATATTAATATAATAAAAAACTTAAGAATAATAAAATGGCCAAAAATGTTTTTTGTAATCGCTAAACATGGCTAATTTTAACTATATTCCACCTCGCTATCATTGAAGGGCGATTTTAGCCAAAGTGGCCTATTAAGTAGTACTTTTTTTTTATGAGTATGAAAATTGAGAGTCTGGTAAACTTTTGAGATCTATTTAGGAACCATGTAGTCACCTGTTTAAAGTTGAAAATTTAAGTCATAATTTACCGAACGTAAATTTTTCACTTTACACCAACATTTTCACAATCTTCATCAAAGTTACGAACCTGATTATTTTAAGTATAAAAGTACAACTCATGAAAATCAGTTGCAAAAAAAGATCTCAAAAAAGTCTTCTACTTTTTTTAGAACTTTTTTAAATTGTTCAGTTTGAAAATTCTTAAAAATTTAGAAAAAAAACCATAACTCAAAAACTATGAACAATCGTGTAACATACATGGAGTTGATTTGGGTACCCTAAGGGTGCTCTATCTCTGGATTTCCGCTTGACACTACTTTCTGGGACAACCTGTGTAAGAAAATGCATGTATGGACTAGATACGAGTATGTACGCACTATTTAGCTTATGCTTTTTTATTTTATATTTTTTTATATAAGCATATGAATACGTAAGTACGAGTAGATGAATTACGTATAAAACACAAATGCATATGATCGTAGTCGCCAATCTTGAATCTACACTGGTTCCCTCTTTTACTTTATTCTTTACTAGCGGCTCACCCTCGCTTCGCTTCGCTTCGTTAGGTACGTTTTAAATGGATATAAATAGTTATTAGCCAGCGTTAGCCATATATATTTTTTTAATAATATTGACACAAATATTGACATTAATATTTATACGATACTAACGTCACTCAATTGTTTTGCCTTTCCGGAACCTCTCCACTAACACTTTAACTTTATGGTATGGTATTAAAGTTCAAATTGACTTTTAAGTATTATTACGAATCTTTTGTGTGAGAGTATAGAAAAGTGTTGTTTTTAGATTTTTTCAGGCATTTTTTATATTTTTTCTCTCTGTAAGAAACTTCTTCGCACTTCAAGGAATATTCTAAAAAAAAATTAGCTAAATCGGTTCAGCTGCTCTCGAGATTTGTGCTTACCAACACATTCAGCGATTCATTTTTATATTATATAGATAACGCAGAGAAATCCCTTTTCACAAGTCAGCTTGCTCTGCCATGCAAGTAATTACTTGAGAGTCGCTGGTTGCTAAGCCTGGAGTGTTCAATAAAATCTGCCACCCTTTCATAATTATTATAATAATATTTGTTTATATATGAAATATGCATGTACAGCTATGCAAGAGTTAATATCTAACCTTACATCGTCAATGTCATGAAGTTCTAAGTCTCCCAGACTGAACTTTAGCCACAGCGGCTTATCTTATTACTTACTTTTACTACTAGTTGGTTTATAGAACATAAGCACTTTCAATTTTTCCACTCATATTTTTCGAAACAAATAACTTTGCCAGCAATAATAAACAATAGCATTCCCAAAGAGGGTTGGTGTCAGGCAGACGGCCGGTCGTAAAACTTTTGCCAAATCCTATCAGCATTACGGAAGATGTACTGCGCCGACCCCAAGTAATTAGGAAATGGGCAGGGAGATGATGTTGAAATGGCTTTCCCAGCACTAACTTTGGGATGCTGTTGGAAACTTCTTGACGAAAAAATGAAAATAATATAAATAAATGCCAAAGCACAATCGCAATGTGCAAAAATCGAACTCGGAACCTTCAAATAGTAAAAGAAAACAATATTAATATCTACTTTACATTCAGACCCTCTGTATGAGAAGTGGTATCCACACCGGACCGTGTGTTGCTGGGATTGTGGGTACTAAAATGCCACGGTACTGCCTCTTTGGAGACACCATCAACACAGCCAGCCGCATGGAGAGTACTGGAGAGCGTAAGTCTTCATTTACGTAATATTTTATTGCCTTAAGAGTTTTCTGTCAATGTTCGTGGTCAGAGCAATATATATAAAATAATATAATAAGTTTAGACTAAAACACTACTAAAACAACATAATGTGAAAAATGAACTATTTACATAAACAATAAAAGTAACTATATTTTAGTTGACTACAGTTTATCGTAGCAGTATATAAAGCAATAACATTTTTAAAGTGTCTTTATAACATATGTATCATATAACATTAGTGCATTCAAGCAACTCCTAAAATATATTCGTTTTTAGTATCTTTTACAAATATCGTGCAATAAGCTGTTGTTGGTACTGACAATATAAATATTTACATGGCAACAATTTGATGTTAAAGATAAATTACTTAGAATGAATCACAATAAGAGCTTTTATATGACATGGGTCTTATAGCTGTCGGACGAGGGCTCAGCGTCCATACACAAGCGCCCTTTGTTGAAATTTACTTTGTATTTTACTAGAAACTCACCTTGGCCTAACGCGGGGGTCCCTAGGTGGCTAACAGCCTATATGTTACTATAGGTAATACTTAATAGTTTTGGCTACTTTTACGAAAGAGAAAACAAACATACATACATTCTTTGAAAGAGTAACAAACATACATACAAACAAATACTTTTCGCTTTTATAATACTACTCGATAAAATAAATACATATATTGAGCTCATATAGACTTATATCCTATTCTTGCACGTAAAAGAGGGATTTTATTAAATCTTCGCTTAGTGGTAGACTCACAAAGGGAAAAGTCTAATAAATGCAAATTAATAATATAACTGTACATAAAACCGAATGTATAAGTTAGAAATAAGCTTAGTTAAATTGTTATTTGTGTAATGTATAATGTGTAAATCTTTCCAGCTATGAAGATCCAAATATCGGAAGACTTGAAAAGAGCTCTGGATAAGACTGGGAAATTCATTACAACACCCCGTGGAGTTGTCGACGTCAAGGTTTGCTTAGATTTTTATAAATATCGTATTATAATAGGACATCCGAAGCACTAAGCTTATAAAGAATTATATATATTATTTTAGCATTGAAATTAAATGTATCAATGCTTGTTTTGCCAACTAAATGAATAACATAACATAAAAACTTCAAAAAAACCTAGTTCCAGGCACTAAAATGTAAAAAATAACTATAGGGGAGTTTTCATTTAGAATAGATACCTAATCAGATATTTTCGAAGTCGGTGCCAGCCGACGCAAAGCAAATCTAATATATTTCGATACGTAAAATACATATGATTTACCTATTAGATATTGATATCTTAAAATATTGTCGGCTGGCTGTAGACGTAATAAGCAGGTAATTTGTAAGAAGAAAGGTTTTTTAATAACATATTTGATTAAACAATTTATTAAAAAAAAGTATTGATGATTTTTTTAAAAACCGCTATACCGATTTCAATAAAATTTAAATGGGACCACCTGGGAAGTGGGAAAAAAATTCCAAATCGGTTCAGGCGTCTTCGAGTAATCGGTGAACATACTTAAAAAAAAGATTCCGACAAATCGAGAACTTCTTGGAGTCGTTTAGTAGTTCCTTTTTGGAAGTCGGTTAATGATTTTTATCAATAGAATATTTCATAATAAAGTGTACATTTGTCTTGCATATATATATATATATTGCTCAAATATTCAAAAATGGTACAAAAATATATGCATAGACTGTAGAATTAAAAAAAAACTTTTTTAATTGTTGAACGTTTATAATATTGTCTGTATCTCAGGGAAAAGGTGAAATGATGACATACTGGCTGGATGGTAGGACTGGACCGTCTCCTGTGAGGCCTACAACTTCCTTAGACTGTACTCCCAGCTTCCTCGCCAGGATTCACCAAGGAAGAACATCTCCAAGATATCAGGATAGAAACTATTAATAAGTAATTTGAATTTGTGGCATAATAATGTATATGTTGTGTGGTTGTTAAGGAGAAGCTTTAAGTTTAAAATAAAAGCTTTTAATTAATTTAAACCGTAAATGTTCTGTAAAATATAAAAAAAAAATCTGTCTTCATTTGTTGAACTATAATCTGTATCTTTTCATTGTCACGATTTTAATTCTAAAAAAAATCATGACGTATTTTGGTTGATTTTTGTATTATGTCAAGCTTAACTAGCCATGGCTATAGAAACTATCTATTAACAGAAAAGAAATATACAATAGGATATTTTTATTATATCTATAAATAATGAAAATCTTGTTTTATTTTTCTGTTCCTCTCGAAGAGCACGAATCATTACTTATTTGTGGCAAATTATACGACAATCAAATTGTTGGTTTCAATCAGAAGAATTCTGAAATAAAGAGAATAAACAAATATTATATGGGTCTATACGAAATTAATTTTTTTTATCTATTCTATTATATTATAAGGAGGTAATTTTTTTTGTTTGCTTATACCGAATAAGCTTCGAAACTACTGGACCTATTTAGATTTTTGGTAAAAAGATAGTTTGAGACCCTGGAATGGACATAGAATAGTTTTTATCCCGGAAATCATCCCTTAAGGGAGTGAAAATGGGATGAAAGTTTGCTTGGGGAAGCAGCCTACGCTAGTTTATTATAATTTTCCTGTTCGTATTATCTCAATTAATCTATACATATAAAAAAATTGTAACTAAGCCTAGAGGCCGAATCTATAGTTTTTAACATTTTTGTCTGTCTGTCTGTTACCGCATCACAGAAAAACCACTGGAGGGATTTTGATGTTTGGTATGGTAATAGCTGGTTATCCGGGTCAAAATACAAGACACTTTTTACCGCGGGAAAATACCTCATTTCTGAGAAAAAATAAAAAAACTGCAATGTAAGAGTATACTAATATGTAAAACCTAAGAATTTGGTTTTTGGTCATTTGAACGCGGGCGGAGCCGCGGGCAATGCTAGTAATATTATAAATGACAACACATTTTTCTTGTTATATATTTTTGCATAGAAATTGTTTAAGAGCTGAAGAAAAATCAAAAGCCATCACGGGCATACTTTATTTCGGTACATTAAATTTATTACCATGAGATGAGAGCAGTATTTTAAAAGTCGCCCAAGATCAAGAAGATATTGTATAAGATTGCCCCTTGGATATGCTAAATAAAGGCAAAAAAAAAACATTTTTTATAATCCTATTAATATACATACATAAATGAATACAGCTGTGTAGAAGTATACCTTTACTTTTTTAATTATACCATATATGTATAGGTCATTATACATCGGTCTATACTTACTCATTTTCGATTACGAAACGCCTACCTACGTCATTAACAGGAAAGTGAAGAAATACAATAAATTTACTAAATTATACAAATTTTAGATGAATAAAATTCGTACTAATTAGGTTTATCTTTTGTATTGTTAATTAACAATCGAAATCAAATTTCTTTATTCTTCGAATTTTCAGTCCACCAATTAAGGTTTAAATTACATATAATCTGCCATATTAGAAATTACTTAAAATAGGTAATTCATTATAAGAATGTTCAGCAGGAGGTAAATTTTGATCCAAATTCAAAAAAGGAGGAGGTTCTCAATTCGTCGGAACCTTTTTTTTCTTTTTTTTATGTATAGTCACCGATTACTCGAAGACACCGGAACCGATTTTGATTTTTTTGTTTCGAAGAGTGGTCTTCCCAGATGGTCCCATTTAAATTTTATCGAAATGGGTCAAGCGGTTTTTTAAAAAATCAAGAATAAAATATTTTTTTAAATAAATTGCTTAATCGAATATGTTATTAAACAACATTCTTCTTACATATTACCTGCTTATTACGTCTACACTAAAAATGGAGAAGAAAAACATAAAAAAAATGCCTCCCAGGCATTAAAATGTAAAAAATAACGAAACGGAGATTTTAATTTAGAAAAGATTCCTAATCAGATATTTTCAAAGTCAGTGCCGTCAGCCGTTTCGGAGATTATCCGGAACAAACAGACAAACAAACATTTTAAAAATTGTGCTTTTCTTGTAAGTACCATATATATAAATTCATACGCGTTAAGTAAAAAGCTGTTATTTTGACATTACAAACAGACACTTCAATTTTATTTATCTGTAAAGATAAGTAGTAGCTTGTATAGTATATATATATATATATATATATATATATATATATATATATATAAGTTAAATATTATACATACAATTATGTCATGGACGAATTAGAGACTAATTCGTTCATGAATTATGTATATTGACTAAATAGCAATTTTATAATTTCTATCTTATAATAAAAAATATTTCGTGTTACTCGGGAACTAACGATTTGGATCAAATTTTATATTTCTATAAGGTTTCGCTTTTTAAGTTTATCTATATATGTATGTGTAATTTCTGAAAAAAAAACGCAATTATTCACAAAAAAAAATTGACAATGTAATATAGCACATTCTCGTAAATGCTTGTGGTACTCGCATTATCGCCAATGGATGGTAACCTACTGATAGAGCGTCCAGATACTTACCATAAAAGGACAAAGCTTTCGTCACACTACGTAGTGTCAACGTAAAAGGAAATCGTATGTATTATGACGAGTAATATGTAACGGGTTTATTTCAAATAAATTAATTACGAATAATTTTACTCATATATGAATATGCTATATATTAGGTAATTTTAAAGTTATAGAACAAATGGTTATTTATGTTTAAAAAAAAATCTTCTTACTCTTTGAACTTTCGAAATATTGAAACCACTTAATGTTAACTGTTAAGAGTTTCCTTGCTGAATCCTTGCGTAATCTTGCTTACGTAGACCAATAATGGCAACGTACTTTATATTTACCCAACCGTGGCGAAGCCCAAAGGAGGATTATGTGTTTTACCTGTATGTATATAAGGGAGACGGGTCCTAGTTGTCACAAAATTTAAATTAACATTTTTAATTAAAAAAGTTGCAATAAAATTGTCAATTTTTCTTTCTCAATAAGATATTTGATTAATCGGCTTTTATTAATTGCAATTATTTCTTAGAAAAAATACATAGTTCTAATACATAAATTAAAAAATTACTAAAACAAATAATTGAGTGTGGCAAGTAACTCCCGACGCGGGGTAGGTTGTAAAAGTGACGGTCCTTATTGTCACAGGTCACTGTTGACTCACTGTCCTCGTCGGCACAATTTGGACAACAATAAAATAAATCCTTCTTCCCACCACAATTTTCGTGCACCCATATATTATTGCACTTGGTACACTGAACCCATTCTTCATTAAGTTTACTACTTAGCTAAGTCTCAAAATATATCAAACAAAAAGTTAGAAATGCTCCAAAAAAGTAGGTTTCATACAAACTTTCATCCTCTATTTTACCCGCTTATGGGATGAATTTCAAAAATGCTAAAACACGTATTTATTTAATTGTATTGAAGAGCATTAATACCATGTTTCAAGTAATTCTGATCATAAATATTTTTGGGTTGTATTATAACGTGTTTTCCCGTGGGAATGAGATTATCTCCTGCGGTAAAAAATAGCCTATGTCACTCTCCAGCTCTCCAACTATCTCCATACAAAATCACGTCATTCCGTTACTCCGTTTCGACGTTAAAGAAATACAAACAAACAAACAAACAAACAAAACACACCTTCAGATTTATAATATTAGTATGGATGACGTATTTTCAGAATAGTTATCTTCTCTGCTACTTAGTTGCTTCATATTCTTACTTATCCTGTTTGGAATCGCCTGATTGGTCTTAATTTTTTTTTGTGTTCGTTGTTCGGCTAACGCATTTTTAACCGGGATGTCCGTTAAAACTGCGGAAATTTTTTTTCTTTGATTCGAAGTTGTTTGTTTAGTTGAAGCTTTTGATAATAGACGTATACTTTAAAACAAATTATTACTGTGACAACTAACCGCAAATTTGTTAATAACTTCTACCAGAGATTAAATAAGTTTCATCATACTTATAAACTCTAAAACTAAGTAAACAAAAACAACTTGCATGGGAACTTGACTATTTTTCTATTCAAATTAAGTATATAAGAAATAGGATAATACATAAGTGAATATAGTCAATAACTAAACTCAAAGTAAATACTAAAATAAACTTATCTTAAATATTTTTTTTAATTTTTAAAAACACACTCCGACACAATAATTTGGCGACCATATGACACTTTCTAATGTTAGTAGCACTGGAATCTGTTCCAATTTACCAATATTCGCGTTACATAAATTCATTTAATTTTTTTTCTATTGAACTTGTCACAACTAGTACTTCAGGGACGTGGGCACCATTTTTTTTAATGATGTGAAATGCATTTACGCGTACCACCTGTAGAGATACAGAAACCTTCACCGTTCTAATGGGATGTCGCAGGATCGCTTACGCACTTAACCACGACACTTCGACGGCAAGCCTGCCGGAGCCGACCATAGTAGCCATTGGGTTGCTCCAACGGTCCACTCTGATATTACGGAAGTACCAGGAGCAACGCGCATGGCATAATACCCACCGAAGTGGACCCTGTGCGTATCTTGGCTTCGCGCCCGGCTAGTTTGCCGGACGCTAATGAGTCCCCCCACCTGGACGACGTATGTTACAGTATTATTATTATTTTATTTTTAATTATTCCATGATTTATTTTTGTCAAATAAAAAAAAAATGTAGCGATTTAGAACGTATTTGATATTTTTCACATGACACATGAGAAATTTTTTTCATGATATGATTGGAAACTAAAATTTCGCAAATTCAACTTCACCTATAATGTAAATATGGGTTTACGTAATTTAATAAAAATATATACTATAATATTATAATATATCCCTGTAAGGTATACTCATTATTGGTAAAATGAATCACATAAAACTGTATATTGCTACTACTATATATTGGCCAATACTCTACACCACAGACAGTATTCAAATACGAGTGTCAAGATAAATTACGTTTACCTGGTATTAGGGCTTAGCTGCATATGTAAATAATTATTGAAGAAAATTCGTATAAATTGAAAGTGTTAATAATTCCCAGTAGTTCTTAAAGCCATCCAACAGAGAGGGTTAAGGTGAAAATAAACTAATAGTATAATTTTGTGCCTTCCATATCAAAGTCGGAAGTCTCACCGAGTTGAATTTAACGTATAGTACTGTGAGTGTGAAGTGACAGCAAATTGGAACATTTATCAGATCAATCAAGTGTTCCAGCTATTATTAATAATTTCCAATAATTATTAATATTTAAAGCATTTATCAATCTACTATATTATATCTCATCATGTCACTTAATAATACGATGAAGTGTTTCATAATTTGGTTCGTCCTGTGGGCTCTCGTGCAACAGTGCACCGAGTGTCGGACGCTCTCCTCGCAAGTACCATCGGGCATGCAGGCACAAACACTTGTGACTAGTAAAAGCGATGAGCTGATAAGGATTAAACGTAATGTTATTAAAACATATGGTAAATGTCCTAAAGGATATACACGCAGACTAAGGGACTGCAAAGAAAGTAAGTATATTATAAGGCTATTTATTTATAAACATATTAATAAATGCCGTTTATAAATAGAAATATTTTTCGTAATTGACAATGTAACTTATGTAAATACTAAATAGTAAGTCTGAGACAAAGCTGCTTTTTATTTCAATTAGATAACTTTAATGTGGCTTAGTTAGTAAAAGCTTAGCTGAGTGTAAACTCTTTAATTATTATTAGTTTTTATTAATTATTCATTGAAATCATTTCAATGAGCCTAAACATGATATCTTTAGTATTTTAGTAAAGAATTGAGTATCCTGAAAAATTCTAAGTGGCACTACAACACTAGGCCTAGGATACCATATCATTGCCATTGTGTCATTAAAGTAGCTGAATACCAAGCTTCAAATCGACTAGATTTGTGGAAGTTTTTCATATACTTTTACCGTCTAGAATAGAGCTGATACTCTGCAAATGGCTGAACGGATTTTCTTGATTTATAGCGAAGACCAATCTCGATCAAATCACCTTTCAATAAAAAAAAACTAAATTAAAATTAATTTACCCGTTTAGGCGATGTGATGCCACAGCCACACAGATATACACGTTAAACTTAATTAACTCCCCTCTTTTACATGGGGGTTTAAAAATATGTTTTAATTATTGTAGTTACTTTTTAATCAATTCTAATCTAGTTGCTGATTTATATTTGTATAATAATTAAATATTACTTTACTTTCAGATAATAAAATACAAAATAAGGGAAAATGAAAACATAAAGCCATTCTGTTCCACACAACTTATCAACATGTGGTTTCAATAAAAAAAGTTCCTGATTCTGCAGAATACCATACGTATCTTTACTTTAAGTTGAATTTTATTTGTACTAAGAAGCTGTTGCTTCACTCTTCTTCAAGTCTTCAATATGCCTACATATACATCTGTCCAATGGTTTTCTCGTGATGCGGTCACAGACAGACAGACAAAAATACTAAAAACTATACATTCGGCCTCCGTATCGATAATAATGACTATTTCAATAAGATTTTCCAAAAAAATTTAATGTCCAGATTCGGCTTGGTTAGAATATTATTTTACATATGTAGGTATAGATAAAAATAATTCCCAAGGAGGGTTGACGTCAGGCAGGCGGCCGGTCGTAAATTTTTTGCCAAATCCTATCAGCAGTACAGAAGATGTACTGCGTCGACCCCAAGTGATTGGGAAATGGGCAGGGAGAAGAAGAAGTAGGTATAGATAAAACAAGGTCGGGTTAGTTACATTATTTAAAACTCAAGAATGGCAGGACGGATTTATGAACTTTGCTTTGTTAGATTTGTCTTCACTCCGAATAGCAGAATAGCTATTAAAACATCGGAAAAAATCAGAATAAAAATCTAGTCCATACTAAGCGTCTAAACGTACTCAGGGACGAACCTGAGCGGAGCGAGGGTGACTCGCTAGTATAAATATAAAATAAGATGGTATTTTGTAAAAATATTTGTATATTACTTATTGTTATTTCATATTATTCATAGTTAGTGTAGCTTTTGAAGGATTGTTAACTATTTAAAGATATTTAGATAATGGTTGTTTTGATATCTTATAATAAGCAAAGAGCTTTTTATATGTACATTATTTATTTAACTAAGAGTAGCTAATACCTATGTACTTTATGTTAATAAGTTAACGGTGTAGGTATCTATTAGTAGTAAGCGCTAAATCTGGCTTTAATTGAGGTTAGTCTTGTATTAAATCATTATGATTCATTCATACGTTTTGATTTCATTCATTTCATACGATTGATTTAGTGTTTATTTATTTTCATTGTTAAATATAATAATGAAATAAAAAAAGACATATTTTTCAATTTTTGTTTTATTTTAATTCTTATCAAAATTAAAATATCTACGAGTTTATTATGAAATCTTTCACTTAACGGACTCCAGTTAGCCAATATGCAAGGTTTTAAATCAACAACGACACGTTCGGCTCAGTTTGTAGTGAGCATACTTGCTGTGCCAGCGGTTGCGGGTTCTAGTCCCGCTGGCTGCATTTATTTGTGTGATGAACACGAATGTTTGTACTCCAGTCATGGGTGTTTAATGTTTATATTTATAATATGTATGTATTTTTATTATATAAAGTATGTATTTTTATTATATAAAGGCTATATATAGATTTTACATATTTTTTTATATAGGGCCATAAACTAACGGCTTTTTATGACATTATGCCATCTCTGATTTCCTACCCATATCTCAATCTTAAATTCCCATAAACTGAAAGAGCCTTGAATCTTACTAATATTATAAATGTGATACTTTGGATGGATGTTTGGATCTTTATTACTCAATCACGCCAGAACGACTGACCGGATCTGGATGAAATTTGACACAGAGATCGATTATATGTTATAGTCTAGAATAGCACATACGACATACTTTTTATCCCAGAAAACTCTACAGTTACCGTGCGATAGATTAGTTTCTGTTATTATAGAGGCGAAGTACAGTTGTAAATAAAACAATATGCTTAATTTTGTAAAATAAATATATTTAACCGTATATTTTAATCTCTCTCGAAACTCCTATTATTATTAAAATTTATAATCAAGAATGTACAGAACTAAGTACAGAGGTGTAGGCTATTGTTTATACATATATAGTAACAGGATATCACAAAGTCATATCATGAAGAGATGTTAAGAGAAAACATTTAAAAAACTGCTATACATACCCATCGCATTTTTTTACTCTTTCGTCTCAAGTCGTGTCTATTCTCTATCTGTCTACGGCCACAGTCAATTTAGTCCAATCAATATATACGTACAAGACGGCGTTTGGTTTGAAACATCATATACTTATAATAATTATATACTTATAAATTTTTTTTTTAAATAAGGTCCAGGAAAGCTTAAGCTCATTTTTATTGTATGACCTTTTCTTTTACTGGAGAGAAGAACAGCTATTTCTTGGCACTACATATCCAATATGTCGTAAATGTAATTACAGAACATTAACAAGGAGATTAAATTATATAAATGTCGAAATAAGAACGCTCCTTAACCTTTTATAAGTTAGAATCTCTTCTTGATAAGCTAAATTTAAATATAAGAGATGATAGAAGTGACCTTTTCGATGCTAATAAAAGTGTATCTGTCAGTGCAGCTAGCTTATATGGTTTCTAATCATTAAGTCCTGAGTTGGAAACCCGGACCTGGTCATGCTTTCTTCCAAAAAATTCTCAGTCTGCAATGCAATTCAATGCAGAATTTGGTAAATAGTATTTTAATCCTGTAAAGCCGCAGGTCCTGCACCAAATCATTCCGTAGTCAAAATAGCCAAAAAAATTGATAAGTCCGAAAAAATCCGTGTCACGTAGGAAATAAATAAAAATATTCTCAAATAAATAATAAAATAAATAAATATTATATTATTTTATAATAAAACTGCAGAAATTCGATATTTTTACCTATGGCCCACCTTAGTACAGCTACGGTCGATACGGTACCGATTGTACTTTTGACATTTTATATGAAACCAATACGAATTTCCAGATTAATTTGAATTATCGCGAAGTTACGTATCTTTTATTTTTTTTGATTGGACCGCCGTATCAAATTGTAACATTCAATAATGTATAGTGGAACATTCAAACAAAAATATTTATCTTATGTAAGACATTTAAGAAACCGATGATGACAAGATGAGCTACGTTTTAAACTCCTGATTTATATGTTTTTACATCTGATTTTTAACATTTGACACAGAAATAAATCTTAAAACATCACTTAATTAAAAGCTCTAATACATTCTGGTCGTAGTCCTCGAGGCGTAGACATGGTGGACTCTCAATCACCATCTCGCCAACTTTTCCCACTAACCAAAAAGTCTCCATTGGACCTTTGCCCTGAAAACATTACAATGAGAAAAATATTATTATCTGTTTGGTTTAATTGATTATTACTTTTCAAAAGTTTTATATTATTAGTTTTCAAAAGTGCTTGTAATAAGTCTAATTGAATAAAGTTTATTTCATTTTATTACATAATTATCTGATGTTTTAATGGATCCTTAGGAAGAAAACTTATAGTACCTATCTATTGATTTCATCACAAGTCGACTCTTACCTGCACATCCACCACTCCTCTCGACTCCATAATGTAATTGCCAATCTCTTCTAACGCCGCCTTCGTCGTTTGCGATATGTGTATTTTCATTGCTGTAAATTATTTAAGGATATTTTAATATAATATACTTTTAATAATTGACGCTGGTGCACAATATGACTCGATTGAATTGATCTTGATTGATAATTGATAAATTTTTGACTAAATTTTTTTATCAAAAACGTTTTATCAATGTATGTAAAATATACATAATATACATATTACGTACACCTAAAAATATAGGAAAACTCTAAATTACTGGACTGATTAAAATCCTCTAAAAATCATGAAAAATAGCCATAACAATTAAAAAAACGAAATTAGCTGAAATATATTTTATGTTATTTTCAATTCACCGTACAATTTTAGTTCGATTTCTTGAATTACTTAATTTTTATCTTTCACATCATGTTAGTAAACGTTCTGTTCTGTTCAAATAAGAATAATTCTATTTAAAGCAAATAAATATAAACTCACGTTCCCCAGTGCTCTCCATCCTGCTGGCCGTATTGATAGTGTCTCCAAACAGGCAGTACCGAGGCATAGTGGCACCGACGACGCCCGCTACACACGGCCCAGTATTGACACCTGCCCGGATTCGAAGCAGATCATCGGGTCGATGTGGGATCCGAGCACCTTCCAAACTACGCATTAGAGATAACGACATATCTGCTATTTCTGATGCATGGCGGTTGCCTGTTGAGATGGTTTTACTTGAATAGTATATTCTCCTATGATCACGGTCATTGAAACTGGTTAATGATGAAATAATGAATGAATGAATATAATGATTATAAAAATCAAGTGACTGAATAAATGCTCAATGATTATCATCTTTATATCATCGAAGTGAATGAAAATTAAGTGAATGGAGAACGTGAATGAAAAAAAGCTACTTAGATGACGAAAATCTCGTTTGTAATGAGTATGTTTAGTCTGTTCAGTACCAATAACTTTAATATTTAAATGTATTTATGGTAATTAACTTTTTTTTCGTTAAAATAAAGCTATCAACCCTTCGCGAAGTTTCAAAAAACTACATCAAAATGTTTTCATGAAAACTTAAAATGTATAATAGGTTTTCAAATAACCATAAAATCAACGATTGTAAAAAATTTCATGTACGCATACCGTTTCTCTGTGGCAGCCCTGACACAACCATGTAAGCGTCTCCTATCGTTTCCACTTTATACACATTATACTGCATTATTTTATCGTCGAACATCCTAAAAATTAACCAGTTTCAAATAATTGCAATTGAAAATAGTGCTTATTTTTAATTGCAATTAATTTACATATATTCTACTACAAAATGTTCAAAGTTATAATTAATAAATAATCCAATTACTGTTACATTTTGGGCGCTATGTTTACTACAACATATCATTTATGTTATTTTATAGTCAATTTTGAAAGATCTACAAGAGGATTTCACCTGTTTGTTTGTATTTAGACTATCTAAAAGTAACACAAGTTATTTCATTTCAGTAATAACAATTTTCCAGCGATGGTGAGTCGCTAGTAAACTATATAAGAGTTACTATATAGTTACATTACTCATATAAAAAATAATGTTTTATATATACAATGAATACTAATAAAATGAAAAATAACAGTTTTCATACATAATTTAGCAATACCGACCTATATAACATGTTTAACATGTTAATTATCTCCATGGGAGTGCTCGTAGCAGCTATATTTGTAAAGCCTACAATATCACTGAAGTATATCGTTACTGCATCAAAGGCCTCCGCTGGTACCGTTCTTTGGGCTCTAAGTCTCCTCAGGACTGGTATTGGCAACATCCTCGATAGTAATAGATCACTCTTTTGCTTCTCTATCATCACCTGCTGTGTGCTATGTTCTATGGACTCTGTGAACGCCTGAAAATGAGTTATTTGGTAAACTGTACACTATTAAATAATTAAATATAATTATGTAATGCTTCTATGACCGATATTTAAGCTAACGAGGACAAAAATTATTGACACTCTAATAGGGACTATTACATACATACAGAAGCTACATATTATTGGCGTAACACACGAGCAAAACGTGGATGAAAACTACAAAAAAATATATTTATTTTTATAATTTTTTAGTACTTAGATACTTTTGTTATTTATTTTATTATTATTATTTTGAATAGTAAAGAAAACAAAAATAATTAGCAACAATTTAAAATGTTTAAAATGTGCAAATTAAATTATATGGACAGGACGAAATCTCATCTTATCCACAGTGCACGGAAAAAGCTTTCATATTTTTTGTTGTATTGTTTGTGTTTTCGGATGACTATTTGAATAAATGTTATATAAATAGTTGAATGATTCTAACGTTATTTTACTATATCTCATCTCTTTATAGATTTTTTTATCTCAGTCTGTCTAACTTTAACTCATATCATCTAGTTATTACCTGTAGCGTACGAAACGTGTGCCGCAGTAGTAATACAAGAACGGGCGCTGCACAAATGACCACTCCAAGTACTGAGATACCCAGAACTAGAGTTCGCCGCGCCGCCCATATCTCTGCGGCCGCTGATTCTCTTTATAAAATAAAAATAATTATTACACTAATGTTATATACTAGCGACTTACTCTAGCATCACTCGTATGTGCTCCTGGTGTATTTTTGCTATATATTTTATTGATTAATTACTAGCGACTCACCCTCGCTCCGCTTGTTTTTGTCCCTACTTACTTTTTAAGGTTTAGTATAGATTTCTCAGAGATGAAATATTTTCCCGCAGTAAAAAGTCATCCTATATGTTGACCCGGATAACCAGCTACCATCATACCAAATTTCATCAAAATCCCTCGAGTGGTTTTTCTGGTAACTGACAACAGCGGTAACAGACAGACGAACAAAAATTCTAAAAACTATATATTCGGTCCCTGTATCGATAATAATGTCTATTTTATTAAAATTTTCCAAATAAAATATTTAATGAACGACTCGGCATTGTTAGAATTTTATTATACTATGTATAGATTTCAAACCGATTAGGCAGCGCACGCCAATAATGCTCAACGATCGTTTCCTTCTCAATTTATGTTATTATGGTTTCTGACAGTAAACACATTTTTACCGGAATAAAAAAGAGCCTGTAGCCCTCAACCGTAAACAGCTTCTTATTAGTGAAAGAATTTTCAATTTTCAGAACCGGATCAGTGTTCTCAGAGATTATCCTCTACATAGGTATGTACTTGTACAAACTTACAAACTTTACCTCTTTATAATATTAGTGCAGATTGGAAAGTTTGCGAGTAATTTTACGCTGTTATAACTTAACGGATTTGAGTGAAAATCGAACTGGAAATAACCTACTTTAGCTACCTTTTATTGACGAGTGTACCAGGCGAGCAGAGCTGCAGGCAGAGAGTAGTACATAATGGTGTTATTCTAACAAAGTTTTTCTTTGTTTTCATAATAAGACAGTTCAGTGTTTCAAATTATTTTCTTTCTATCGATTACGATCACTCTTTTTACTCGTATTGTAAGTATCTCGTCGTGAATTACACTCGAACTAGAAACAAGTGTTTGTTTTATTCATCTCATATTTGTCGCGATGTAAGTGTATATCTCGATGTTCTGTTTATACTTTACGGGCCCTTGTCATAAGATAGCTTAATGGAGGCGATTGAATACTTAGCATCATTTATTTCATTTATTTAGTTACTCTTAGCGAGATAACAAATCAGCATTACTGCAATATTAAAATATGTTATATTATTGATGTCTGTATGTATGTTCCCTATGGAGTCCAAAACGGCTGGAGTGATTTTGATGAAATTTTCAGGCGATCTTCAGATTAGCCCAGCGGGTGATCCTGTGATTTTAGTAACGACCGGAAGTTTGAACGCGGGCGAAGCCGCGGGCATTAATCATAAACAAAGAATTCTTATATATGTATCTTTAAACAAACTTCTGAATAGTTTATACGATATAGCGAATGTATTTCATGATAGTAATAAGTTTAATTGAGCGTCCAATTGCTGGGCACGGGCCTCCCCTCAATGCTAAACGCGAGTTGGCAGACTTCACATGTCCTTCGAAACTATGTAAATTCTCTCAGACATGCAGGTTTTCTCATAATGTTTTCCTTTGACGTAAGGCTAATGATTATCATATTGAAATTATTCATAGTTGTAGTGCGAAACACGAGGCTAGAACCCTCTATATTTACATTTCTAAGCGCGTTTACCACTGCTACGGGATATTAGCATTATCTATACATATAATAATAATTACCCTGAGTCGAATCTGTACATAAAATATTTCTTAGAAAATCTTATTGAAATAGTCATTATTATTGATACAGAGGCCAAGTCTATAATTCTTAGAATTTTTGTATGTCTGTCTGAGAACACATACGAGAAAACCACTGGCAAGATTTTGATGAAATTTGGTATGATGATAGCTGATAATCCGTGTCAATATTTAGAATACTTTTTACTGCATAAAAATATCTCATATCTGAGAATTATGTATACTAACTATTAAAACGTATCTAGGGACGAACCCGAGCAGAGCAAGGGTGAGTCGCTAGTTTATATTAGGTATATATAAAAGACATTAATTTTAAGAACTCATAAGCTACAAAAGGACTCACCTAACAGTTACCCATAAATTAACTTGCTCTTCTCTCAACTGGAACAATAAGGAATACGTATCGTCCATATACTTGCTAGTCACAACTCTCCATTTGCCTTCTTTTGAAGTATCATTTATCGAAAAAAAAGACGACGTTGTATAACTGAAATATAAATAATGGTGGCATTAAATACAGAGCATTAGCTATAAAAAGCATTAGCTACTTAGTAATTATTTTAAATACAACGAGTGTTTCGTGGTTGATTTTCGTACCTGACGTTGCGAATGTTTTACAGCAAATGTGGTCGTTTGAGAAGGTTCTTGATATTTTTCAATTACATGTATCAGACTTAAATAATAAAATTGTTGATACTAATAAATAATTACTATTATATATTACAATCCAATTATTTAATTTTATGTTCAGTTACACTATAATTTAAATTATCAATTTTATCTAATAAATGAAAAATCATCTCTATCTATAATACTTTCTTGGATTTACGCGAATATTTGACATTTTAAATAAAAAGTATCTTTTCGGATTTTTTCTCCTTAGCTTCTCCTTAACCTTAGTATCTTCCGTGACCATGACTGATGTATAACATTCGAAACGTCGGGACCCTAAAATCAAAATAAAAGGTCACAAATTTTCCAACAGGTACTTACAAAGCATAAACTTCCTCCAGGATCTTAACATTTACCCTGTCAACTTCTAAATACTGTATTGCCGACCGTAAATATTCTATCACCAATACAAGATTGCGTTTCACATCCAATATTGCTTCCACATCTCCAGATAGAAGGGAATATGTAACTTGTGTTAAGGAAATAGACAGCTCATCTATTGTATGCACTAGTTCGTAGCATGCTGATAGTTGTCTGAAATAATTATTAAGAAATATAAGACCTGAAAAATCTATAATAAAATATATGAAATATACATGAAAATCGGCCAAAAATTAGTTATTACAAATATATTTACTATACATACTTTTAATATATTTATACATTTATTATAGATTTTTAATATATTTATAATATATTTTTTATACATTTTGACATTTATTTTTTAATATTTTTTTTTCATGGGGGTATACTCACGATAAAATAGTGAAGGCATTATTAATTCGATTTTGTCTTTTTAGATTATCAGTATGGATAAATCTGTTTGTATCATCTGCAATAATGCAGATGATAAGCAAGTGTATAAAATAAAAAAGGGTTTTTGTTTTTTGCATTTTCTCAGAAGATTTACTATAGTAACATATATATATTTTTTTCACCATCGGAAAGTAAAGATTTCAACGAACAGAAAACATACCAACTTTTTGAAAAAAGCTGATATTTTGACGGGTGAATTTTCGATTGAAAATTAGGGTGCTTTTTCGATATTAATTTAAAATAAGGTGAAAAAATAAATATTTTTAATCAAATAAATTACAGCGTATTTAGGACATAAAACATAAGTTTTCAGCAAATTTCGTTAAAAAAATTTTTTTTTGTAAAAGATAAAAATAAAAAACCAAAAACTTGTTTTTTTTGAATTTTTCACATAAATGTTGAGGTTATGTGAAAAAAGTGTTTTAGATCTTTTTATTACCTACAACTTTGCCATTTGACTTTTTTCGATAGGACTTTTAGTTTTGCCGGAAATCGAGAAAAACCGTTTTTTACCCTTAAAAACTCACCCCCATCCCCTTCCCGACCTCAGATCGCCCGTAAATTATTTTTACTTTCATTTTTATAATATTCCCCTCCTTTTGTAATGGGTTTCATCCTACTATTATTTTTTTTGGTTTTAAAAATTATCGACCCTGGTCTAATAGGTACGTTTCCATTTTTAAAATATGGCACTTCTATACAAACTTATTTCCTCATCCCAATATTTTTAGACAAAGAGTTTTAAGAAGGAGAGAAAAAGAAAGATTTTTAGATGAAAAGAGAGATAGAGAGTATCCTGTTATTTAGTTAGTATTAAAGTTTTATTGGGTAAATACTTATTTATATTTATATTTTATTTATTATACTTGATACTTATCTTAACTCCGAAAGTAATAAATCAGGGGTATAATCAAGCTAAGCTTCTATAATTCGTACCGTCTAGACAGACGGAAGTGCAGAACAATATAAGGATCGTCCATTAATCACGTAAAGTTTGAAAAGGGGGGAGGCGGTTCAGAAGAATTCACGAAACATCACAATAGGAGAGGGGGGGGGGGCTGTAGTGAGATATCACGTGTATTTATTTTTTCATTGTACTTCGTCGTTCGTCGTTCTTTCGTTGAATTCAGAAGACTAGAGAAGTTCTCGCACTCTTATCACGGTGTTTAATCCCTTGACGACCGCGAGCACACCGGTTTTACAGTGTATAAATTAATGCCTTAGAAATTTAAATAATTTCTTAAAGAAGTCCTGGAGGAGTTAATTTTCCATAATGAAATTATACCTGTATTTAAAGTAATATTCTGATTTTTTTTAAATACTTTGTACCAAAATATACACGTGATTTTGGATAGGGGGGAGGGGGGGAGGGAGAAAGCGGGGAGGGGGAGGGGGGAAGGGAGACGGGGGGAGGGGGGTTATTCTAAGTATCACGTATCGCCAGGAGTTACTAAAAAGAGTTTTTTTTTTTTATTTTTTTTTTAATCTATTTTTATTTAGGGACTTCTTAGCAACAAAGCTAAATGTCAGTCCCATCGTTCCCTTAAGACATGTATACCACTAATAATACTAGTACCTCTAATTATAACTTATTTTAACTTAAATTGATATACAGTTTTGGCTATCTCTGAGTTAGGTTTAGACAGTGCGCTTTGAAAAACTCCCACATCATTCCAGCAAACGTTAAAACGGCGCATCAACTCCTGTCTCCTATCCGCGTTACGAACACATTCCACTAAGAAATGATGCACATCTTCCTCTACACCGCATAAATCACAATTTGGAGAATTAGATTTTTTCATTAGAAACATAAATCTGTTAAGTGGAACGTGTCCCGAACGCAGCCTAAGAGCCATAACAATTTGTTGACGCGTCAACCCTGAGTCGCAGAACCACGGGATACGAGGAGGCTCACTTTGTATAGTCTTATACCATATTCCCTTAAGTTTTGATCTTTCGTCAAAGTACTCTTTAAAGCGGTTTACACATTCTTGTTTATATTTAACCAAAAAATCAGAATAATTTGGTCTTAAATTTATAACTTTCCCAACGAGAGGAGCTTGTTTTGCAAGAATATCAGCCTCCTCGTTTCCCGTTAGTCCAATGTGAGAGGGAATCCATTGCAATTTTAAAGACTTTCCGATAGATTGTATTTTAGTTAATTCATGTAAAATTTTGTAGGCTACAGATACTCCCCTTGTTCCTCTTACGCAACTTATAAGATGCAGTATAGCACTTTCGCTGTCTGTAAAAATCACAATGTTATCTCTATACACATCTCTAGAATAACGTAAAGCCTCCAAAATTGCAACAAGCTCCACAGTCATTATTGATGTATTAGCAGTTATTTTAAACATTTTATTAACATTACAATTTGGATCGTACAAAGAACAGCCAACGTTTGTTTTATCTTTAGATCCATCAGTATACAGATAATACCAGCCAAAATAATTATTATGTATTTCCTGTATAATTTCTTGTCTTAATATATTAGTATCGTAACTATTTTTAGATCTTTTTATACACTTTAATTTGGAGTTGCATACATTTTTAATATTAATATTTGACATCCATGTATCTAAATTAAACATCTCTGAAGTGCTAGATGAGCTGACATTTTCATTTTTTGTTTCCAGATATGTAACGCTTAATAAAGGCTTCTTTTTATTATTCCAATACCTTTTACCCAAAGATAAACTCAAATCAGATATACATTTTAAAGTTTCATTTTCAGACCAAGACTGACATTTTAAGCAAAATTTCATAGCTAGATATAGCCTTCTTATATAAAGAGGTGGCAAACAGAGGTCACTCTCCATCACATGAATAGGAGTAGACCTAATATATCCTCCAATAATACGCATAGATTGGTTTTGTATTTTATCTAGCTTGCATAAGTGAACATTAGCACTATTGTTATATAAAAACGAGCCATAGTCCATTCTACTTCTTATCATAGATGTGTACACTGTACGCAAATGCTGTGGATGTATCCCCCATCCAGGACCGGCTAGTGCCTTAAGCAGTTGTAAAAACCTTTTAGTTTTTGAACATATTTCATTTATGTGTGCTCCCCACCTAAGAGACCTATCCAAATAAAAGCCTAAATATCTAATACATTCGACAGTCTCCAAGTTCAATCCATTAATAGTAATATTTATATTATGTTTACAATGTCCTCTACTAAAAACACATATTTTAGATTTAGTATCCGATAGCTGTAAGCCTAATTTATCCAATAAGTTAATTAAAATATATAAAGCATTTTGTAAATTTAAAATAGTATCTTGAATCTTTGGAAGACTAGAATATAAAACAATATCATCAGCATATTGACTTAAAAAAACATTCTGAATGGACCGAGATATTTCTATTGTAACAACATTAAATAACAAAGGGGATAGTGGGTCTCCTTGAGCCAGACCTTTACTTGTCCATCTCTCATAAAAGGAGTTATCCTTATCACATCTTATTCTTAAATGTCTTTCATTTAAAAAATGCCACAAGTACTTGCAAATCAAAGATCCGCCTTCATAGTTATCCAAGGTAATTACAATATTTTCAATAAGAACATTGTTATAAGCTCCTTCTATATCTAAGAAACAACCCACAGTTTGAAGATTATTTGTGAAGCCTAATTGAATATGAGTGATTAGGCGAGTTAAGTTATCCAGACACGATTGTCCCTTTCTAAAGCCCGTTGTTCTTGGCGAAAAAAAATGGTTTCTTTCAAAGTGCCATTCCAAACGTTTATTAATCATGTTGTGAAATGTTTTAGTTACGCATGATATAAGGGAAATAGGTCTTAATTTACCATTATTGTCTCCAGGCTTAGGAATGGCTACAATCTGTACTATCTTCCATTGTTTTGGGACATAACTGGAGCTAAATATAAGATTGAACAATTTTAATAAATAACGCTTGGCAATACTGGGTAAATTAACTAACATCGAGTAAGAGATATTGTCATCTCCAGGAGAACTATTTTTTTGTTTTAAAGTATTGTCCAATTCGGAGTACGTAAATGGAGATTCTAATGCTTCATTTTTTGATCTTAATAATGGTATGTTAGGCGATACAAAGTCGGGAGCCAATGACTCTAATAATTTCTGTTTTCTCTCATCTGATGTACAAATTTTAGTCCTTCTCAAGCCTTTCATCCATTGCATCTTACGCCACATATCCATTACAGTTGTATTTTCATCGATATCACTACAAAAAGAATGCCAACTCTCAGACTCAATTTTAACTATTAACATTCGGGCCTCAGTTACTTTTTGCTCTAATATATCTAGATTATGAGGGGTTGGATTTCTTCTAAGATTTTTAAGTGCTAACCTCCTCTCAGCAACTATTTTAGATAATGTTTGATTCCAAAAAGGTTTGGGAACAAATTTTCGATCTAAATTATTACAGTACTTTATATATGGTATTGCTTTATCCGCAGCTAAATTTATTCGCTGAATGAACTTATCATACATAATTTGAATATCATTTGTTTCAAAATCAAATTCATTAAATTCTTTTTCTAATATATTTTTGTATTCTATCCAATTAGCATTTTTATAGTTCCTTTTTTTAGTAAACGATAACTTATCTTTATAACGGAGAGTATACTTTAACATTAAATGATCGCTGCCTAAATTTTCATTAATAGTTGTCCAATCTAAATTCATAGCTATATCTGTAGAGCAAAAAGTAATATCTGGTGCCGATTGTTGTAGTGATCCGTTAACAAATTTAACTCTGGTATAGCTTTTATCGTTAATAGATATAAAACCATACTGTAGTGAGCTGTCGAACAATTGATTTCCTCTAGAGTCTATTTTATCAGACCAACTTGTATGTTGTCCATTAAAATCTCCCGCGATTATAGTACACTTGGAAAATAAAGAAAATAAGCTATCCCAATTGGCTTGACTTGTATTAACACTAGAGGGGCAATAGACAGAAACTATATTTTTCAACAATTTACAGTTCATAATTTTAACATGCACTAATTCAATACCAATATTATTAACATTAATAGAACTTTTAAAGGTTTTAAGAGACTTATGTGTAATAATTGCTACACCCATATGAGTCATATCATGTCTATAAACGTTATATTGACTAATATTTAAATTTGAGCCTTTAAAGTCTCTAATTTCTTTCAGCTTCCTGAAAAAATCTTTAAATTTATTTAAATTGTCTTTCTCTACATCCTGGTTATTGTTCAATTCTATAGAGGATGCTGACTTCTCGGTGTGTAGATAATTAGTGTCGTCAGTATTTACATTTTGAACTATAATTGAATTCTTTTTTCTATTCTCTTTTTTTTTATTACCTCGTGAACTACATGGATTCTTTGAATAACCTTCAGTATCATCATCATTCATTTCTTCTACATCATTTGACATATCTTCGTGCTCCTCAATACTTGGCATTTGTTTTGTTGTAATTAAAACATCTCTATATGATCTAGTCTCTAAAATTTTATTTGTATTAACTAAGACACTGTTATGCAAATCATTTTGTATTTCTTGTGTTTCTGTCAATCCCACTTCCTTACTTGTATGCTGACAGTAAAATTCAAGAGCCTTTTTGTAAGTAAGACTATTCTGACACATTATTTCCCTAATCTTCTTTTCTTTTACAAACATAGGACAATTTTTATCCAGAGCCATGTGGGGTCCTTTGCAATTTAAACAAATAAAATCTTTAGACTCACAGTTTTCATGGTCTTGTCCACATTTTGGGCATATGATTTTTCGTTGGGCAAGATCTACTCAAATGTCCGAACTTCCAACACCCAGAACATTGTGACACTGGAAATGTGTATGGCTCAACCTTAAACCGACACCCGTATCCTAAAATATACGGGGGTAAGGTAGAACTCTTAAAGCCCAACCGAACTGTGGTACTTAAAACCCATTCATTTTTATCATTTAGTCTCCGCAACCTCCTCATGCTTACAATTTGAGAATCACAATAAAAATTGTCCAATATTTCCTTTTCTTCCGTTTCTAAGTCTACATCTTTAACAACACCGTAAATAATTTGAACTTCACTGGTCGATTGACATCTGTACTCTAATTCCACCAATTTTTGGCAATTTATTAGTTGGTCAGCATCATTTTTATTACTAAATCTTATAAATGCCTTGTAGGGACCTTTGAATTTAATACTAAGTATGTTATTAATGTTTAGTGATTTCATTAACTTAGCCATACCTATTTGTTTAGGTAAGGCCTGTTTGGAAGATAAGCACACTTCATATATTTCATCATTGCTAGACGAACTTCTATGTATGCGTTTACTCCGTCTCTGTACCGTAATAAACTCTTCATTTTCATTTTCCGTGTCGTCACTGTTTTGTCTTTGTCTTTTCTCCACAGGGCGGGATTCCGCCATACTTGTTGCCAATACTTCCTTTTCTACTAGTTGCTCACAATTATCACTATTCAATATGGTCTCCTCTTCAACATCACTTGAACACAATAAAATTATGTTACTTTCGTTAAATTCATCCATTATCGCAATATTCCAACATGAGGGTAGAATTAGAAGTAGTAATTAGTAGGGAGAGGGAGTTAAAAAGTTACTAAAAATATCACATGATTATTGGACGACCCCATAGTGATCATATGTACCTACAATATACCTAAATATTGGTAAAAATATATATTTAAATTTAAACGTTTTAGCAAATACCTCCATAATGGAGATTTCGTAGACTTCACGCTTTTCATCATATAAACGAGTAGTATCGCGTTTATTTGTTGGTAAATAGATATCCTCTTCAACGAGTCTTTCTTCTGTAAATTCCTGAAATATAAAAATGTATAAAAAATTTAATTACCTACATGATAATAATGGAAACAACCTTAATATTATTGAAAATACCTTAATACTATTGTTTTAATTAAAACTATTATACGAGAGCAGAGAGAGAGAGAGAGAGAGAGAGAGAGAAAATATCAGTATGCTGTAAACTCAGGCCCTGAATAATAATCAAAAATCACAATGTCACAATATTCAATTCAATCCATTTGTTCAGTGGCTTCTGGAAGTGTCATTTGGGTATATTTTATTTCGCCTATACACGTTACATATACAAGTTAATAAACAAGAAAAAAACACTTAATCTGATTAAATGTAGAAACGATGTAGGTATGTACATAATAAGATACCAAGCTTTTTATTAAACGGTTTTATTTAGCTTGCCTTCTTTGTTGGGTCAAATTTAGTAATTGGAATTTTACCCCTTTCCTGTTGAAAGATTGATCTGATATTTGGTACGCAACTTTAGTTCTGATGACAATACAATTTAATATATTTAGTATTATTGTAAATCCAAGAAGGCTGCCGCCATAAAACGACGGATTACATTTTTTTCACAACCCCCTCAATATGGTTATTACAAATAGAACAAAAGGACTGTACAAGTAGAACGTGCATGGCGGATCATCTATAGAGTTTAGACAGTTTAAACTAAAAAAAACCAGTCGTGAGGATTGCTGGATAGAAGTGAAAACTTAAAACTATAAACAAACATTTGTTATTTTTGGATATTCAAATAAATTCCTGGATCTTAAATTAAAATTTGTTAATTAAAACTGTTTACATTTATCTGGTTTTGACATCAATCGGCACTGAGTGCTAGCATTAACACATCACGTGACCATGTCGACGACGACATACATGAATTTACTCCTCATCCAAACCTGCCTATAGAACTTTTCACTTCAAAAAATAAAAACGTGAAAGTACAATAGGTATTTTTTTTAGTTAAATGGTTTTATTGAAAAGAAAACAAAAACAAACCTATCCCACGCGAACCATACATTTTTCCAGGGTAAAAAGTAGCCTATGTATTGTTCTAGATTATAATCTATATCTGTGCCAAAATTCATACAGATCCGTTCAGCCGTTCTGGCATGAAAGAGTAACAAACATCCATACATACAAACTTACTATACGGATAATATACTAAAAGCTAAAAAATAATTAGATAGGTCCTAGGTACCAGTTACATATTTACGCAAGTTACGATAAGCCCCACAATTTTTTTTTGAGAGTTTCTTTTTGATCAATAATAATAATAATAATAAAACTTTATTAGCGTTAAGTTTTTACACTTCTAAGCGCAAAATAAAGCTAATTACGATTTAGGTTACTTACATCGGTTTGTCACTGGCGACTGTACTAGGCCGAGCCTGTATTACCGACCAGTTCCTTCCTCTACGGCGCGGCTACATTAACGCGCAAATATTCGTGTCGCGTTGGCGCGATAAAAACATCGTGTACGATGTTACTGTATGTGTACTCGATGTTCTTGTCTACATATAAGCAGTCAATGTGTTCGCCTCTTTCGCGGCCGATGTAGGTGATAATTCTTGCTAAGTAAAATGGAAATTGTATTGTATGTCGGCAAATTATAAATTATTATTGTGCGAATACCATTTAGATTTAGATGTGAGCTTATTTTTAATTATAACCCACGCATCATATACCAACATTTTTCCTTTTGCGGTCGGGGTTTCCGTCTCATAAAATTGAATAAACTCCAATACTTTTTTATAGCTTCAATCCATACCGTAGTTGCGTCGTCAATTTCCCGCCAAAATGTCAAACGTCCGTTCCGCTCAAAGTCTGGACTGCAACTCAGTGGCGAAGTGTAGCCAGGCAAGCAAATATTGTCGCGCTAAAACCCTTTGATGCGCGCCAGTTTACCGACATTGCTGAAATAAGCATTCGTCATCACCCGAATACTACGCGATGCGCCGAACTACCCGGCTACACTTGTCGCGATAATACGAATATTCGCCGTATCCCGCTAATGTAGCAGCGCCAATGACATAAAAGAATTATCACTAAATTATCATTAGACATTATGACTAAATTTAGCATATATTTAACTAAAAAGCCACACAATAATAACAATGAAATTACAATATCAGTTGTACATTAAAGTTTTAAACATTGATTTTAACATTATTATTATTTTTTACAAGTACCGCCAAAAAAGTAAAGTAGTAGGTAAAGTTATACCACTGAAAACAATGAATGAATGCCAAATTTTAAATCTGTAGATTGTATTTTTTTTATTTAAGTACCTAGTTTTAAACTATATTATTTTATGTGGTAAATTTTACTGCATTAATTATTTAGGTATTCATAGGTAATTAATATTATTAAAATGGTTAATTAACATTTATAATGATAAGGCATTTGTCCCACACAAACAAATAACTTTTAAATAAGTCCAGTATTTTTCCTCTAATGCCAATATTTTCCATTTTACTAAGTAATATCGGGACAGATACTGTGTGATCTAAAAATACGCCTATACCCCTTTCTTGTTGATCTAGAAGATTTGCAACGTAGTAAAGTCAAAGACTGCTTAAGAGGTAGACAGACCTGCTCTAAAGACGTATTGATTTTTCGATATAATCGATTTTTTTATTTAAATATGCTACAAGCCTTTTATTTAGTATTTTCTCAAAAAAAAATGACAATGCCGGTAATACAGAAATAAGTCGATAGTTATTGACACAGTCTCTGCCTGCCAGAATAACCTGCGTGTTTTGGAGGTAAATGCTTCGGAAACGTAAATTGGATACTGGTTTAGCTTTATTCCTATAACGGTGAATTGAGTTTTTGTTAAAGATGCTGCTGATTGTAAGTTTTAACTTCTAGAATAATTAATTCGTGATTTAGATAAGACTGAAGTAATTTCTGCAATAATAGTGCCCTTACCAGACTTTGTAGTGATTCTGTATACGTCTCTGAGGTCTTTTTGTGATACATTTACATTTAGGGTTTTGCAAGTATTTTGTACGATCTGACATAGATTTCCCTTAGTTTCACGTTGTGTTGGCAATTGGACGTTTCGTATTTCCATAGTGGATGTTGTTAAGCTTCTTTTTATGTTTTCTACCCGTGATACTAGTGAAGCTATTTGCAGTAGACGCTGTTTGCGTTCTTTTTCCAAATTTTCTATTTTTTCACCATATCTTCATACTGATTATTGAGAAATTCAATGCCCTTTTCTATGTCCTCGTTTGACTTCTTTATTTAATTATGTTGCTCTTTTATTGTGGCAACTTGTGCTACTAACTTTTCCAACAAAGAATTTTATGTATTTTCCCACTCACTTATTACGTGAGTAATCTCTTCTTTGAATGATAAAAATGTTTCTTCGCTACACTCTCGTTGCATTTTGTTGCGTTGGGATATAAATGTTACCGTTACAGCATCAAGTGGAATCTTGATAACACCTGAATCCGATGAGTTATGTTGAAGCACAGGTGGTGATCTAGTTACTTTAGACATTTTTAGTTTAAATTCACAGTTTATGCGGTCGACTTAAGTTTACTCTTCACAACTACTGCTCGCCTGGTACTTACTCTTGTATAATTAATTTAATTTTATAATCCATATATTAAAATGTAAAATAAGAATGGCAAGACGTCTGTACACTATCGCGAATCAGGAAGGGATTAATGCCCTAGATTAATGAGGAGAGTGGTGTGATGACTGGTACCTATCGTATTATTTTTTAAGTAATGTTCGGAAACTTTGGAAACTTGGAGCCGTTAACCTTTAAAAAAAATCTGAGATATCATCTAGTGCTATGTACTACATATTTTATTTTTACATAACAAATGTTCGAAGTACAATAGGTATATGTACCTACTAGAACTTGCTACTGAAACATTAAATTAAAAAAAAAACAATTTTCAATACGTATAATATTATTAATCTGACAACTAATTGCCATCTTTTGTATACAGTAACAATTAAAGGAAACAAAATCTATTTACAGTATTTTACTCTCCGACCCACATTATTAATGCTAATGATTCTATTTATCTACATACAAATACTCCTGCGCATGTCTAGCCATTCACGCACATTCATGGGGTAATCAGGCGGGGCTCAGTGAGTCTAAGCCAATGGGAAATCCGCGGGTCTGTTAAACAAGAATAAGCGCTATCATTTAATACTCATTGTGTTTGTGTGTGCGACCATTTGTGTTACGTTCGAATTCTAAGGCGGGGCATTGATTAATTTGACCACGACAAAGTTAAGCAAATACTTGTTTATCTTAGAATGCTTATCAGCATATACGATAGTGCTATAGGTGACTAATTTTTTACTATATTTACACTTTTTATACTATTTATAAACTCAGTCTTTGTATGACTCGGAGGATATCATAGTATCATAAATAACTAAACTTCCTTCACAGATCGGAAGGAATCACTACTTTATCCTTGTCTAACCCTTGTCTTGAATGTTATGGTAATATTTCACTCAATTTTTTTGTTTGTAATATAATACTAATATTATAAAGAAGTAAAGGTTTGTGAGTTCATGAGGTTGTAGGGGGTAATCTCTGGATCTACTGAAACGATTTTGATGAAATTTGGTAAGAAGATAGCTTGAGACCCTGGGAAGGACATAGGATACTTTTTATCCCGGAAATAATCCCTTAAGGGGTGAAAAAGGGGATAAAAGTTTGTATGGGAAATCAGCCTAGGGACGAACCCGAGCGAAGCGAGGGAGAGTCGCTAGTAATTTGCTTATCTTCACTAATTTATAAGCATCCGAATCAAATCACTGTATTTGAAGGACGGAAGTGCTGATAGCCTATATTGGCAAAAGTAACCGCTTGTTAAGGATTTTTAGATTTTCAACCACGAAAAGTGGTTTAAGGGGAGAAAGCTTTAAAGTTAATAATGCTTTAATACCATTATTACTTAAAAGTTAATATTCACGTATTTAATAAGCCTGCCTGGTTTTGGCAGTATCAAATTAAAAAATAACTATGTAGCCTGATTTTTTATTTGACAGGGAATGTGCCGCGGAAATTAATTCGAATTATATTCTTCAAAAAAGATCAGTACGAGCTATTTATGATCTAAGAGCTCGTGATTCCCTGCGAGATGCTTTCAAAAAAATTGGTATTCTTACGGTTGCGTCACAATATATACTGTGTCATATATTACTAGTTCGTAAGAATTTAAATAATTACGTAAAAAAACAGTGATAGACACACAATAAACACTAGGAATAGAAATAAGCTAGTCACGCCTAGATTTCGACTCCAAAAGCTGAATAAATCCTTTATGGGCCTGAGTATACGCATATATAATAAGATTCCACAAAATGTCGTAGATTTACCTTTTCAAAAATTTAAAGATAAAATTAAAAATATTTTATTGAGCAAGGCGTATTATACTGTTCAAGAGGTTCTTGTTGATGAAAATGTGTGGAATTAGGTGATGTTGACTCATATGCAGGCTATCTATATTGTTATGTTAATAAAATACATGTAACCTCTTTATTTAAAAGAGCAACTGTTGAGTTTCTCGCCGGTCCTTCTCAGCAGAACTGCTTTCCGAGCCGGTGGTAGCTTACTCACGGACTGACTACACTGACGCTTTCATTAAATTGACGATTCAAAAGTACTTGTAATAAGTCTAATTGAAAAAAAAAGATACTTGCGGCTTACCCTCACTTCGTTGGGAGCGTCACTAAGCTTGAATAGTTTAAGAACCCATAAAAGACAAACGTCAAAAAAAGACTTTTTTACACCAAAAACCTTTGCAGACCTATACAGAATAACCCGCCACATATTTATTACAATCATATCAATGGATTAAGAACGCATACATGACAAACATACGGATATTCATTTTTATTTATACAGCAGATAGATAAGTAAAATTGAAATAAAGTTGATTTTATACTATTACATAATAAATATGACAACTAATAACTACTAATAAATATCATTATACTTACATTATACTCATTACGTCCTCTCGTAAATGGCTGCATGTAATTAAAATATTTTCTATATTTTTGACCATAATACGTAGGTACCTGTATGAAAAAAATGTAATTCATTCATTTTGTTTATCTTCATTTCCTCTTCTATTCAGTTCCCTAAGACAAATTGATTGAGGTATACATATATATCATCCACTAATTGAGTAATAAATTATGGGAATAAGGTATTCCGGTCACGTGACATAACGCTTACATATATAATATATTATCATTTCGCTATATTTTGTCCGACTTCAAAAAAATAGTTATTATTTTTCTTGTATTTTATTGGCTCACCCTCACTTTTCGGTATAATATCTATACATATAATGAAGTTGTAACTAAGCCGAATCTGTACATTAAATATTTTTTGGAAAATCTTATTGAAATAAACATTATTATCTATACAGAGGCCGAATCTATAGTTTTTAGAATTTTTGTTTGTCTGTCTGTTACCGTATCACAGAAAAACGACTAGAGGAATTTTGATGAAATTTGGTATGGTGATAGCTGGTTATCCGGGTCAAGGGTCTTTTTACTGTGGGAAAATATCTCATCCCTGAGAAATCTATACTAATCGTGAAAACGTAAGTACGACGAACCTGAGCGAAGCGAGATTGAGTCGCTAGTATAGAAATATAACAGCTATCCATATATAGAAATATAGTTTGCGATGAAATATTTAATAACATTTTTCCTTATTGATTTTCAATAGTTATTGTTACACCACTTGATCCTTCTGTAAAATTATTTTGTGCGTAATCATATAAAAGGACGCCACGGTTTTTGATCTCACTGAGACTTCACATTAAAAATATACATTTTTCGCGAGAGCAATTTATTTTAGTGCTCAGGAATAAAAATACTCATGTATGTTTGACACACGTAATAATGTCAACCTATCAACGGCCAATCTCACTGAGACTAGGCATAGACTGTCTATTCCTGTCACTCTCCTACTCCAGTGGGACGACAATTTTCTACTACCGGTGGAACATCAGACGCAAAACCAAGCGCTTTACAAGCTGTCTTAGGGACGGAAGTGAAGCACCGCCAACTTCACAGCTTTAGGTATGTTTCTAGGTAGAAAAACTCAATAAATAAATGCGGCCCGACACGGAACTCGAACTCAGGACCTTCGGATCTGCAGCCGTATAATTTAGCCACTAGACCACAGGCAGGCACACACATAAACATATAATATTGTATCGCATACTGAATTAAATGTTGATTTAACTACACTATTTGGCTTGAAATATTGCTATAATAAATATATTGCCTTTACGCTTCAGTCAAATGATTTCATGGACACCGTGCACGTTCATTTAATACAATATGAACGGTTGGTATGTGAAAATATAGTAACATTTTATATTTCAAAAACTCAATAGATCTGTGCTTTGTTTGAACTAAAGTTTTGTTTTTTACTATTTGCAGTGCACTAAAACAATTTTTTAATATATTTTTTATAGTTTTGAGTTTTCTTTATTAAATATTTTACATTCTACGCTCTTTTGTGTTTCATTAATTAGCAAGTTGTAGTTTTTTTTAATTAGGTAATAAAAATATTATTTTGAAGCTAAAAAATGTTTAATGAAATCCTTAAAAAATGTACATTGTTTTTCTGCATGATTAAAATAAAATCTCATCAGTATTATTTGATTTTGTTCTTGGTTTATAGAATACTAGCAACTTAACCTCGCTCCGCTCAGGTTCGTCCCTAGGTATGTTTTAATGGTTATTATTCAATCTGTACAGATAGGTAAATAAAATTGAATTGTCTGTTTGTAATATCAAAATAACAGCGTTTTACTAATGCATATGAAATTATATACGGTATTTATAAGAAAAACACAAATTTTAAAATTTTTGTCTGTGTGTCTGTCTGTTTGTTCCGGGTAATTTCTGAAACAACTGGACTGATTTCGACAGGACTTTCACTGGAATCTTCCAAGCTATCTAGCTGATGTTATAGGAAGTGAAATAGGCTACTTTCATTTTAGAAAAAGAATTAGGGTTCCTATAAATAAATAAATAATAAAAGAAAACGATAAAAGAAGCGAAAGATATATTGTAGGGATCGTAAATCGCTTAGCAGTATTTTCTTTACCTGAAGGTTATGTGTGTAAATACATTACATATTTCTCTACACTTAGCTAATTCTTGTTAGCTAATGATGTTCTCCTAGCCGATTCCGGCCACGGCGGCCAATCTCAATGAGATTAGCCAACTGCGCAGGAGATATTATAGTGCTCAAGTGTACGCGCAGACACAAGTGCACTCTCTATTCCTATTACTCTCATATTCCGGTGGGACGACCACTCGACACGACCGGTGAGAGTTAAGGCGCAGGACCGACGGCTTTACGTGCTCTCCGAGGCACGGGGGTGAAACACCGCCAACTTCCCAATTCCGGGCTGTTACTGAGACTTACTATACAGGAGACTCAATAACTAAACTTGGCCCGACCCGGGACTTGAGCCCAGGACCTCCGGGTGTGCAGCCGTACATGCTAGCCACTACACCACCGAGGCAGTTAAACCTGCCAGCCGATACAAAGCAAAGCACACCGACTTCGAAATTATTTGAATAGGTATGTATAGTAAATGAAAACTACCAATCAGTTTTTTTTTTACTTTTTAGTGCTTTTGTTTGAAGTCGGTTTTTATTTATATTCCATTGGTACGAAAACGTGTCGTGATCGGAAATGTCAGGCTCACGACCAACCGCTTTATATGATCTCCGTGATCTCTCTCTATAAGGGACAAGGTGCGCATTACAACTTTGCAACTCATTGTACCTCGAACCCAGGACCAAGAAATAGATCCCCTCAATCAGAATAAATTTATTAGAAATATAAGTTCAACAGCTGAATTCTTTTTAATAATATTATACTACGTATAATACATATGAGCATATTTTAAAATATTAAACCAAAAAGAGTATTAAAAGTGCCTCATGAATTCATACAGTCTGCATCAAAAGAATTCCATGTTTGTGGTGGAATCCTAACGGACCGACAACACTTAGTAAAAAGGTTAAATTCTGTACTGAAGTGCTTTTAAGTATATTTGAATAAAATAGGTATATTAAAAGTCCTTTTCAATAAGAGATAATTTTTGTTTGAATTTGTTAATACATATAAGTTTATAGAAGTTTGAGAGTACTAAATAATCAATTCTTATATCGACATCTAAAAGGAACGAGATTATAACTCAGTATTATACGAATTTGAATATTGTTTGAATCAAAATTGGGATGATAATAACGCGAATACAATGGAAATAAAACTTGAAACAAGTTCAATTTTTCCCATAAATAAATTTACAACGATTACAATATATTTATTAGTGATTGTCCCGTGATTGAAATCAGTCATAATTGATTGAGTTTGAAAATTGTTGAGATTCTTTTGTCAAAATTACATATATACCTCATATATATATATATATATATATATATATATATATATATATATATATATATAAATATATATAGCTTCAGTATATGAACTATAACAAAAAGATTTTTGCGTATTGAATCTGTAGTTGCACAGACTACGACATGCAGACAAACAGATAAACTCTTTGGGTATAGGCTATTTACTATCACATTGAAGTTTATAGAAGCAGACTAATTATATCGTCAAAAAAATTTAAGCTTTCAGCAGTCTTTCTTCGTATAAACTTTAACCAACGCTAATATTCCACGCGATATTACGCGATATTACGCGATTCCATATCGAACGCACATTAAGCTTAGAATGTGGTATAAAGATTTCCTTTCTTGCATTATACAAAGGAAAAGACAAAACAGTTCTGCAATAATGATGATATGGTCGAATTTCCACCACTTTTTTCGACGTTGAAAAATTTCAGTGGGTACTACCACGAGCCCCAACGGCAGGCCTGCCGAAGCAGACTACAACAAATGATTGATATTAGAACAAGGATTGAGATGGAGTCTCTTAGATTCGCATCTAGCTGGACACATCATGGGAGAATTTGGACCACTTAGCAAACACTTGTTAATATATGAATAGCTAAAATCTCTCACCGACAACTTCACCGCGTGAAAGCTTACAGCAAATACTCAAAAGTCAATTGGATTTTAATAGTATTTTTATTGTTCATAAAAGGACTTTACTGCTTAAAACCACTTCGCCTAAACGAATGGAACAAGGAACACGAATAACCACCACCCACGAAGGATACAGAATCTCTATATTTAATTTTATATAAATTTAAGCTCTTTTATCTTTTTGAAACGTCGTTTTGTGCTTTTGACAATTTGTTTAACAGATATCGCATATAATACGAATTTAATTTTTATGAAGTAACTAGCGTCTTACCCTCGCTTCGCTCGAGTTCGCCTCTAGTAAAACAAAACCAAATCTACTCCACGGGAACCGTATATTTTTCCGCGATAAAAAGTAGCCTATGTGCTATTCCAGATTATAATCTATCTCTGTGCCGTATTTTATTCAGATCCGATTAGCCGTTCTGGTTTGATTGAGTAACAAACATCTAAACATCCACCTATATTTTGTCATTTATAATATTAAGTAAGATTTAATTAGTGCAACAGGAAAAAAACAATATAATTAAGTTTAATTAAAACTAATAAAGTAATAATTTAAATTTAAACTTTTAGCTGAAAATTAAATTTACACTATAATAAAAGGAATAATCTAATTTTGTTTTAACTATTGACAAATGACGCACAAACTGACGTCACGCCTCGTTCCTGTTTTTGCTTAACTTTTCCAATGCTGTTTCGCAAGTAAACAATAATATAATTTACTCTACTCATTTTAGTTTAGTCTAACATGTGCCATTTCTGTCTAATATGAGAGGTCGCCGGTTCTATTACCGGCTAGAGGAAGTATTTTTTTTATTCGAATTAGTGACAGACTTACTATAAATAATTTTGTATTTATAATATAATATACATTATGCAGCGCAATCTTTTAATTTTTTAGTACTAACAGTAGCCTATGTGTATCTTCAGGTTACATACGTGCAAACATACACACATACAAATTGTGGTACGAATCGTGAACATAATTCCAATTTACACTTGACCGATTTTATATACAGCTATAGATGCATTATAATTTTTATTTAAAATGAATATAGCCTAGAGGCTCTGTTGCTGTGATTCATTTTTAAGTAAACACAATCCGTATGAATCATGAAATGGTTGGTTTGGCTTTTATTTTGAGCTTTTGGGAAATCAAAATTTCGCAAACTCAACTTTCCCTTATATTAAGGGTAAATATTAACAGGCTTAATTTATTACAAAATAACGGAGTGTTTTTAGTCCTAATAATAGGACGAACAAAAAATACCTGTTTCCAGCAGCAATTCAATCAGACACATTGCACACAGATCACAGGGGCTGTAGTATAAAAATATACTATACTAGCATTACCCGCGTCTCCGCCCGCGGTCAGATGACCAAAAACCAAATTCTTAGTTTTTACATATTAGTGTACTCTTACATTGCAGTTTTTGTTATTTTTTTCAGAAATGACACATTTTCCCGCGGTAAAAAGTATCCTATATGTTGACCCGGATAACCAGCTATCATAATACCAAATTTCATCAAAATCCCTCTAGTGGTTTTTCTGTGATGCGGTAACAGACAGACAGACAAAAAATCTAAAAACTATATATTCGGCCTCTGTATCGATAATAATGTTTATTTCAATAAGATTTTCCAAAAAATATTTAATGTACAGATTCTGCTTAGTTACAACTTTATTATATGTATAGATAAGCATACAACCATTGACTGAGTGTGAGTACAAGGACTGTCAGTTTTAAATTAGCTGGCGTCCCGTCATATGTGTGTCAGTGTTGCCACCTGTGAGTTTAAAAAGTGCTGAACGAGCTGAGCCGAGAGCATAATATGAATACAGCTTAAAAAAGCACAAAATTTCCCAAGAGGATATTGACTACGTAAAGTAGACCTAAGCCACGCCCTTGTTACTAAGCGTCGTATTTTGAAGACCTTGAACTGGTCACGTAGTATGGTAAGATGAATCACACAAAACTATATATATACTCAATACTATAAACCACAGACAGTATTCAAATACGAGTGTTAGGAGAAATAATGTTTATCTGGTATTAGGGCTTATATGTAAATAATTTACTGTAGAAATTCGCATTCATTGAAAGTACCTAGTGTTAATAATTAGCAGTAGTTCTTAAAACCATCCAACATAGAGGGCTAAACTGAAATAAATTAATAGTTATAATTTAGAGACCTACCATATTAAAACAGGATTTGTCACTAAATTGAATTTAATAAGCGTGATGAAGTGAAGTGTAGTAAAGTGCAGCGAATTGCAATATATTATATCAGAACAACCAAGATTTCCAGCTATTATTAATAATTTCTAATATTAATATTTAAAACATTTATCAATCTACTATATTATATCTCATCATGTCACTTAGTAATACGATGAAGTGTTTCATAATTTGGTTCGTTCTGTGGGCTCTCGTGGAACAGTGCACCGAGTGTCGGACGCTCTCCTCGCAAGTATCATCGGGCATGCAGGCACAAACACTTGTGACTAGTGAAAGCGAAGAGCTGATTGAACCTAAATTGGCATATAGATTTATTACGTACGGTGAATGTCCTGAAGGATATACACGCATTCTAGGGAACTGCATAGAAAGTAAGTATATTATATTGCTATTTATTTATAAACATATTAATAAATTCCGTTTTTAAATCGAAATATTTTTCGTAATTGACAATGTAATATACGTAAATACTAAATAGTAAGTCTGACACAAAGCTGTTTTTTATTTCAATTTGTTAAATTTAATTTGGTTTAGTTAGTAAAAGCTTAGCTGAGTGTAAACTCATTAATAATTATTAGTTTTTATTAATTATTCATTGAAATCATTTCAATGAGCCTAAACAGGAAGAAAAGGCCAAACTGGCCTCAAAGAAGCTTGGTGTGCTCAGCAAGGCGAGACAGTACTTCACGTCGCGTCAGCGTCTTATTCTTTATAAGGCGCAAATTTGGCCCCACATGGATTACTGTTCTCATCTTTGGGCGGAAGCTCCCCAGTACCAGCTACTTCCATTTGACCGCATTCAACGTAGGGTGGCTTGAATTATCGATGATCAAGCTCTTTCCGATCGGCTTGATCCTTTAGCTCTGCGTAGAGATGTTGGATCACTCTGAATCTTCTACCGCTTTTATCACGGGGAGTTTTCCGAGGAATTGTTCGGACTGATCCCGGCTGCTGAATTTCATAATCGGACATCGCGTCAAAATATTAAATTCCATCCACACCACCTCGATGTCCAGCGTCCCACAACAGTGCGATTTCTAAGGCATTTTCTGCCCCGCACAACCACTCTGTGGAACCAGCTATCGCCGGCGGTCTTTCCGAACCGCTACGACCTTTTTGTTTATCGTCGGGAAAGCATTTACGCAGACCACCTGATCCCCCAGGTGGTGATGTGGGGCTCACCGGCTAGAAGAGCCGGTACTACCCACTAAAACCCGACATCCCTTCCCCCGCCTTAGTGGGATGCCGCAGGATCGCTTGCGCATAATTACTACGGCGCCCGGCGGCAGGTCTGCCTAAGCGCTAGGCAGACCACCAAACCAATGGGGCTGCTCCACAGTTAACTCTGCTACGCCAGAGAGGTCCCCTGAGCAGCCCCATTATATCTAACCTCCACCCACCGAAGTGGGCCACCTCCAATCGGCTGCAGAGGACAGGGAGAGCGGCAACGAAACACTGACACTCCTCTTCCCCTGCAGCCCCACCGCGTCCGCCATCAAACGGTTGCGGCCCCGTCTAGGCCGCGGAAGGTAGGGAGAACGGCGCACCGAAATACCGGCACTCCTCTCCCGCCGCGGCCTACCCCTCCGCCGGATGCGGGCCTGCGACCACAGTCCCACAACCGGCACCGATCACCCGGTTGTGGGACCAAGCGGTCCCACCACCAGTGGCCGCAACGTCTTCGGCTCGAGGCCCAGACGAGTGGCCCCACCCAAGCCGTTTGGTCCGCGCCGGATTTCTCCGGTACCACCCGCCCCTCTAAGCGGGTGGCATGCCCCCATCCGCCACCCGGGGACGCGCCCGGTAGGAGTTGGCTTCTCCCCCGGGAACCGCTATGTCCTGGCCACCTTCAAGAAGAGAGCGTATTCTTTCCTTAAAGGTCGGCAACGCATCTGCAAGCCCTGCGATGTTGCAGATGTTTTTTTTTTTTTTTTTTATAGAAAAAAGGGGCAAACGAGCAAACGATCCACCTGATGGTAAGTGGCTATCGTCGCTCATGGACATCTGCAACACAAGAGGAGTTGCGAATGCGTTGCCGGCCTTTAAGGGACCTATAGACATTACTCTTGAAGAGCCCCATATTATAGCGCTCAGGGAATACCTCGGGAGGAAGATCATTCCACATCTTGCACGTGCGAGGTAAAAAAGATCGAGACGCACGTACGATGATGAGATGAGATGAGATGTCCATGGGCGGCGGTGATCACTTTCCATTAGGCGAGCCTCCTGCCCGTTTGCCCCCTTAGTCCCATAAAAAAACATGATATCTACAGTATTTTAGTAAAGAATTGAGTATCTTGAAAAATTCTAAGTGGCGCTGCAACACTAGGCCTAGGATACCATATGATTGCCATTGTGGCATTAAAGTTACTGGATACTAAGTTTTATATCGATTAGATCTGTAGAATTTGTTCATATACTTTTCCGTCTAGAAAAGAACTGATACTCTGCAAATGTCTGAACGGATTTTCTTGATTTATAGCTAAGACCAATCTCGATCAAATCACCTTTCAATAAAAAGAAAACTAAATTAAAATCGGCTTATCTGTTTAGGCGCTGCGATGCCACATACACACAGATACACAAGTTAAACTTATAGCTCCTTTCTTTTGTATCGGGGAGTTAAAAATATATTTAATTAATTTAGTTACTTTTTAATTAATTCTGATCTAATTGCTGATTTATATTTGTATATTAATTAAATATTATTTTACTTTCAGAAAATGAAATACAAATGGAGGGAAAACGAAAACATAATGCAACTCTGTCCCACACAATTATCGACAGCGTGGTTGCAATAAAAAATAGTTCCTGAATTTAACAAAATTCGTATCTCAATTTTTGGTTAAATTTTATTTATACTAAGAAGCCGTTACATCACTCTTTCAATTCTTTAATCTTCTACTTCTTCTTCCTGCTCTTGTCCCAATTTTTATTTAAGGTCGGCGCAATATGTTTTATTCTTCCATTCTACTCTATCATTCATCATTTTCCTGCTTACTCCCTTTCTAGCCATATCCTCTTCTACACAGTCCATCCATCTTTTCTTTGGTCGTCCTCTTCTCTTTAATTCTTCACTATATTTAATTATAGCAAACTAATTTTAAGGTAAGATGTCTTGTATGGACGCTTCACCACTAATATATATATATATATATATATGTGTGTGTGTGTGTGTGTGTGTGTGTCGGAGGAGGATTTAGTTACTTCTATTAGAATGTAAAATATTATTATTGTTTAAAGTCACTATGTTATTTAGTTTAGTTTTTATTGCTTTAGAGCAGAGACTACGTCTCGAGCGGGGTCGAGACGCCATCATGACATTCATTCATAATTGGAGATACGTGGTTTAGTAAAGTTGGTTGATCTTGGAGAATCATAGAGAGTTATGTTTTGATACTATAGTTGGATGTCAATGGTCGGTATCGAGAACCCGCTGCTCAATTAAACAGTAACATTGTGATTTCACTTAATTAATTTTCCCTGTTTCAAGTTTTAGCATTATGATTTCCCTTATTAAATTGTATTGAGCATTGAATTCTTTATTATTTGAGCCCTGATAACACCCACAAGATTAGTTACTACTAAAGATCTGATGATGTCTGTAGAATATGGATAACACGATATATAAACATATAAAACATGATGGTATTTTGTAAAAATATTTGCATATTATTATTATTTCATATTATTGTTCATAGTTAGTATAGCTTTCGAAGAATTCTTAAATATTTAAAGATATTTAGATAATGATGGTTTTGAATTTTAATTTTATAATAAGTACACAGTTTTTTCTATATATATAGAATATACACTAGCATTGCCCGCGAAATAGATACATTGGACAATAATTCAATCTACTCTACAATTTTAGTTCAGGCTGACATGTGTCATTGCTATCTAATATGAGAGGTCGCCAGTTCTATTACTGGTAAGAGGAAGGTAATTTTTTATTCATAATTGCCACATATACTTTTTTAATATTATAGCACAGACAGCGCGATCATTTACAATTCTTTATTTGTTTTTCCTTCCTTACTTGTTTCAGCTTGAAGGAATAACAATCATACAAACTTTCGCATTTATAATAATGTGGTGAAAATTTTTATTGTTAACTGTGGTAGGAATCGTAAACGTAATTCCAACTTAAACTTGACCAATATAATTTTTATTTAAAATGGATATAACATACAGGCTCTGTCGCTGTAATTTATTGAATCGAGGATTTTTTAACTTATACTTCTTTTGGGACGTTTGGAAAAAAAATGTGAGAGTAAAATTTTTACGATGCGCGCGCACACCGACAGCCAAAAAGCGACATGATGAGGTTAGCTGATAACTCTCTCCGGTTCCCGTAAAAACTCATTACTATATTCAAAGTAGTTTCTCAAATATTTTTAAAATATTATATTTATATTTTTATAATAATTATTACTTATAAAAGTGAACATTTATTACTGAGGGATAAATGTGCATAAATTATATAAAAACTATTATGACTAATTGTTGCCATGGTAACCGTTGTTATTGTCTGACAAATATATAATATTATATTCTTTCCTTAAATGATATTCTATAAATATATGATTGAAATGTGCCTAATATGCGTTATTTAATCATTGATTTATACATTACAATTTAATAATTATATTAATTTTAAACTCGACCAACCAAACATTTTATTAGCACTTTTAACCGACTTCAAAAAAAGGAGGAGGTTCTCAATTCGTCGGGGACTTTTTTTTTAATGTATGTTCCCCGATTACTCGACGACGGCTGGACCGATTTGTAAAATTCTTTTTTTGTTTGAAAGGGTATAGTTTCTAGTTGGTCCCATAGTCACCAAGTCACGATCTGATGATGGGATCCCAGGGAAATCGAAGGCACTCTCAAATTTTATACGCACTTATTGCGTTTTTCATATATTTCCTAAAGCTGTTCAAGTATTTGCGTCTGATAATTATCATCTCCTGTGGTTGAGCTAATGATGGAAGGTACAACTCCTCAACGGTTAGAAGTTAAAAGAAAATTCTTTCAATATTATACGTAATTATAGACCGATAGTTAAATTCTTTCAGGCTCTTATTAACCGACTTCAAAAAAAGGAGGAGGTTCTCAATTCGTTGGGGACTTTTTTTTATGTATGTTCCCCATTACTCGAAGATGGCTGGACCGATTTGGAAAATTCTTTTTTTGTTTGAAAGGGTATAGTTTCCAGGTGGTCACATAGTCACCAAGTCACGATCTGATGATGGGATCTCAGGGAAATCGAGGGAGAGTGAGATCATTTATTAACCGATTTGAACAATTTTTGTTTTGTTTGAAAGAGTATACTTCCAGATTGGTCTCATTTATATTTGAAAAAAAAAATACTACCCTTAAGGGTGGAAAAATAGCTAATAATGAATTAAACCTACTTCTAATTGTCATATTGTCTTGAAACTTTGCAAGTGTTTCTATATCCGTTGATAGTACAATGGTTCGGTATTGTTGACCTGATCTGATGGTAAGGCCAGAAGGTGGATAGGTGGAACTCTTTAACGACTAATAGTAGATACTTTGACTTTGGGCTTATTTTGTTTGGTTTGACAAGCCTAACACTTTAGAATTCTTACTTTGCTACTACTGTCTACACTAAAAACGGAAAAATAAAAACTTTTTAACAAAAAAATAAAAACCGACTTCAAACAAAAGCACTAAAAAGTAAAAAATAACTGATTGGTAGTTTTCATTTACTATACATACCTAATCAAGTATTTTCGAAGTCGGTGTGCTTTGCTTTGTATGGGCTGGCACTGATTTTGAAAATATTTGATTAGGTATGTATTTAATAGGTAGGTTTTAATTACTTAGCCAAAGGTTACTTACCCTATAGGTTTTGGTTCCCTTGCGAGTGTCAAAATATGCGGTATAAGCGACCGCATCTTTTGATTGCATTGACTTAGAAATATATTTTTTTCACAATTACAAGGAAATGCACACTTGAGTATTTGATATCAACTTCAACTCGATACCTCCACGTTTCCTGAGTAAAAGGGTCTTAACAGATAGGCGGACGACGAAGTGATCCTATAAGGGTTTCTTTTTTCCTTTTAAGGTACGGAACCCTAAAAATAGATCAAAATAAATCATTAATATATTATTATAATAATATCTCGTCTCAATCTTAATAATATACTTATATTTTGTGATGGCCTATATTAAAAACTTGATTATCCTCCATTTTAATTTTTAACTATTTTTATGCACATACCCTATGACACTCGCGTTAACAATACGAATCTAACGGCGTATTAATCATTAAAACCGGCCCACGCATTTGGTCTCTAGAACGCCATATAGGAACAAATATACAAACATACATACATAGATTGTTAAACACAATACCCTTCTTTGCGTCACGTAGATGGGTAAAAAAATAGTTTTAAATTCCTAAACCTGATTATACTGTAACCAAAATTATATGGCTATGATTTAATACTCAATCTGCTACCGGAAAATGTTTGAAAAATGTATTATTACTGTACGGTTTCACATACTTTTTTAGTTTTGCTTACTTTGCGCGATAGCTTTTCGAAGCGATGCGTCGCTACATTTTTACGAGCATTTAAAGACACTGAGCCGAACAGAGGTCGCCAGTTAGTCCTCAAAATTATACTGCAACTTCAGTAATTAAAGTACTTCAAACTTATAAGTATTTTAACTTATGCACTCCAAACTCTAATCTATACATATAATAAAATTGTAACTATGCCGAATCTTTACATTAGGCATTTTTTGGAAAATCTTATTGAAATAAACATTATTAACGATACAGACGCCGAATCTATGGTTTTTAGAAGTTTTGTCTGTCTGTCAGGTACCGCATCACAAAAAAAACCACTGGAGGGATTTTGATGTTTGGTATGGTGATAGCTGGTTATCCGGGTCAACATATAGGATACTTTTTACCACGGGAAAATATCTCATTTCTGAGAAAAAACAGAAAACTGCAAAGTAAGAGTATGCCAATATGTAAAACCTAAGAATTTGGTTTTTGGTCATCTGAACGCGGGCGGAGCCGCGGGCAATGCTAGTAACAACTATATTGTACTGTTTTAACTGAGACGGTACACACGTCACAAATTGTTGAACCGAGATAACAAATATACAGATGAAGCAAATTAGATAAAAATATATAAACATGTAGACATGTACCGTGATACATCTTTAATTATCACTTTTTTATATGTAAAAGGGGTCCTTGTTTATTAAATAAATAAATAAAAAAACAATTATAATTTATTTAATAATAAAAACTACACTAATATAGTCAATACTTACTATAATGTGAATTACAATGTATCGGGGACGAGGGACTGCGGTGCATCCTCTAACCAACGGTCTGTGAGTAAAAAAACCCCTTGCAATGTGGTCCTGAATAAAAATATTAAAATTTAAAATTTAATATATAGACTTATGGTATAATAGCACTATCCCATCAAAAACATTCTGTAAAAAAATTGCAAGTTTCGCAACGCATTTCTTCTACCCCAAAAAGCTATGAGATGTAATGTAAAACCAAGTCGGTTAATTTATTCATTACCTATCTATGGAAGCATCTATCCGACAACTTTGTCATAAATCGTTACCGAATTAGTTAAGTTACAACATTTTATAGTGACCGTATTAATATCAGATATATTTATTTCTTTAATTAATAGAATGACTTGGCCATCACACGGAAACATAATGTAATATATAGAAACAAATAATCTTAAGTTACTCTTCAGTCTACTTTAAATAGTCCTAATAAAACATATCATGACCAAG